CCATTAAACAACTCTTCCGCATTTCCCCCTCTCTCCAGCCTCTCTGTCTCTCAGGATTTATCTGTTTTGGATCTTTCATAGAAATAGAATCATACAACATGTACCTTTTTGTTGCTGGCTTTTTTCACTTAGCGTAGTGTTTTCAAGGTTTATCCAGGGCATGTATCAGAATTTCACTCCTTTTTATGTCTGAACAATATTCCATTGTATGTATATGTCACATTTTATTTATCCATTCACCCACTGATAAATGTTGGGGTTGTTTCCACCTTTTGGCTATTTGTGAATAGTGTTGCTATGAACTTTCATATACAAGGGTTTGACTACCTGTGTTCAATTCTGAATACCTGTAGGCAAAACTCAAGAGATATTTTGGGTTCAGTTCCTATTCATGGCAATAAGATAAATGGTACGATAAAATGAGTCACACTGATTTTTTGGTTTCTCAATGCGTATAAAAACGATCTTTACACTATACTGTAGTCTGTTAAGTGTTCCATAGCATTATGTCTAAAAAATGTACATACTATAATTTAAAAATGTTTTATTGCTAAATAATGCTAACAATCATCTGAGCCTCTTCAAATGAGTCATAATTTTTTGCTCGTGGAGAGTTTTACCTCAGTGTTGATGGCTGCTTACAGATTAGGGTAGTGGTTGCTGAAGGTAGGGGTGGCTGTGGCGTTTCAGGAAACCAGTGTTTTCACTTATCCATAGAAGCAGCTCCTCATCTGTTCAAGTTTTAGCATGAGATTACAGTAATTTAGTCACATCTTCAGGTTCCTCTTCTAATTCTAGTCCTTTTGCTGTTTCTGTCATATATGTAGTTACTTCCTCCACCTAAGTCTTGAACCCTTCCAAGTCATCCATGAGGGTTGGAATCAACTTTCAAACTCTTGTTGATGTTAATATTTGGATCTCCTCCTGTGAATCATGAATATTCGGAATAACATCTAGAATGATGAATTATCTCCAAAAAGTTTTCAATTTACTTTGCTCAAGTGTATCAGAGGAATCACTGTCTGTGGCAGCTGTATTTCAAATCACAAATGTATATTTCACTATCACAAAATGTGTTTCTGAAATAAGACTTTAAAGTGGAAATTATTCGCTGATCCATGAGCTGCAGAATGGATGTTGTGTTAACAGGTGTGAAAACAACATGAATCACCTTGTACATTATCAGAGCTCTTGGGTGACTATGTGTATTGTCAGTGAGCAGTGATATTTGGAAAGGAATCTTCTGGGGAGTAAGTCTCAACAGCAGACTTAAAAGTATTCAGTGGCCGGGTGCGGTGGCTCACACCTGTAATCCCAGCACTTTGGGAGGCTGAGGTGGGCAGATCACCTGAGGTCAGGAGTTCGAGACCAGTGTGGTCAAGGTGGTGAAACCCTGTCTCTACTGAAAATATAAAAATTAGCCTGGCATGGTGGCATGTGCCTGTAATCCCAGCTAGTTGGGAGCCTAAGGCAGGAAAATCACTTGGACCTGGGAGGTGGAGGTTGCAGTGAGCTGAGATTGTGCCACTGCACTCCAGCCTGGGTGATAGAGGGTGAATCCATCTAAAAAAAAAAAAAAATTAAGTAAAGCATGCTGTAAACAAGTGTGCTGTCATCCAGACTTTGTTATTCCATTTTTAGAATACAGGCAGAGTAGATTTAGCATAATTCTTGAGGGCCCTAGGATTTTCAGAATGGTAAGTGAGCATTGACTTCAATTTAAAGTCAGCAGCTGCATTAGCCCCTAATGATAGTCATTGTCCTTTGAAGTCTTGGAATCAGGCATTGACATCTCTAGATCTGTGAAAGTCCTAGATGGTGTCTTCCAATAGAAGATTTTCACATACATTGAAAATCTCTTTAGTGTAGCCACCTTCTTGATCTCAGCTGGATCTTTTGGATAACTTGTGGAAGCTTCTACATCAGCACTTGCTGCTTCACCTTGTACTTTTATGTTATAGAGGTGGCTTCTTTCTTTAAAACTCATGAACCAACTTCTGCTAGCTTCCAGCTCTTTTTCCTACAGCTTCTTCACCTCTCTCAGCCTTCAAATAACTGAAGAAAGCCTTTCTTTGGGTTAGGTTTTGACTTAAGGGGAAGACTGTGGCTAATTTGATGTTCTGTCCAGACCAATAAAGCATTCTTCACATCAGCAATAAAGCTCTTTCACTTGTTCTTGTGTTCACTGAAGTAGCACTTTTAATTTCCTTCAAAAACTTTACCTTTGCATTCATAACTTGGCTGTTTGGTGCAGGAAGCCTCACTTTTGGTCTGTCTCAGCTTTTGACATTACTTACTTACTAAGCTTAATCATTTCTGGCTTTTGGTTTAAAGTGAGACACTTGGCTGGGCATGGTGGCTCATGCCTTTAATCCCAGCACTTTGGGAGGCTGAGGCAAGAGGATCGCTTGAGGCCAGGAGCTCAAGACTAGCCTGGGCAGCATAATGAGATCCTGTCTTTACAAAAAAATAAAAACGTTAGCTGGGTGTGGTGTTACATGCATGTCGTCCTTCCACCTATTCGGGAGGCTGTGGCAGGAGGATTTCTTGAGCCCAGTAGTTCAAGGCTTCAGTGAGCTCTGATCTGGCCATGGTTTGTTGCCACAAACCTTCAATTTGTAAAAACCCCAATATCTGTGAAGTATAATAAAATGAGGCACAGTAAAATGAGGTGTGTGTGTGTGTACCTAGGAGTAGAATTGCTGGGTCATATGGTAATTCTATGTTTAACTCTTGAAGAATTGCCAAACGGTTTTACACAGCTGTTGTACCATTTTACATTCCCACCAGCAATGTAGGAGGGTTCCAGTTTCTCCATGTCCTTGCCAACACTTATTTTTCTCTCCTTTAATTAGCCGTTCTAGTGGGTGTGAAGTTTTATCTCATTGTGGTTTTTATTTGGATTTCCCTAATGACTGATATTCAGCATCTTTTAATGTTCTTGTTGGCTGTTTATCTTCTTTGGATAAATGGCTCTTCAAGACATTTGCCCATTTTAAACTTGGACTGGTTTTTCTTTTTGAATTCTAAAAGTTATTTATATATTCTGGATACTAGACCCTTGTCAGATATATAGTTTGCAAATATTTTCTTTCCTCTTATGGATTTTCTTTTGAATTTCTTGACTTCCTTTGATGCAAAAAAAAGTGTTAAATTTTGATGAAGTCTAGTTTATCTTATTTTTGTTGTTACTCATGCTTTTGGTATTATATCTAAGAATTCATTGCCAATACCAAATGTAAGATTTACTCCATATTTTCTTCTAAAAGTTTTCTAGTTTTAGCTCTTAGATTGTTAATCCATTTTGAGTTAAGTTTTGTATAGGGTGTAAGGTAGGGGTCCAGCTTCATTCTGCTATATGTGTGTATCCAGCTGTACCAGCACCGTTTGTTGAAGAGGCTTTTTTCCCCCACATTGAATGGTATTAGCACCCTTGTTGAAATCAGTTGACTATAGATGTATGGGTTTGTTTCTGTGCTTTTAATTCTTTTCCACTGATCTGTGTTTATTCTCATGGCAAGTTGATAGCTTTTACCTATAGTATATTGTAGTATAGAATACTGATTTCTCAAGCTTTGATTACATTGTAAACTTTTTTTTTAAACAGACTTATGGTAAATTTATTAAAGAAATTGTTTCCTTTAAATTGTTAGATATATAAGAACAATAATAACACACAAACTTATTGGATGGTTTTATTTAAAACTTTTTGGTGTGTTTTATAATTTCTCCGACTGCATATGGAATAGTAATGCAGATACATAGTACATCAGTGTGCATTGTAATGGAATTTTCACTGTAAGTTAAATTTACCTTGAGCCTCTAAATAAAACACTGGTTATGTAAATTCATCCTGCCAAAAGATACAATGGTGCCAGCTATAGATGTACCAGAATAGGAACAGCTGTCTGGTGCAGATTTGGACTAAGCATCACACAGGAAGGAATCACGTTATCTGTAGTCTCTAGAGAAACAAAGCTTGGCACCTAATGGTTTTTAAACTTTAATCAGTATAACAAAAGTTGCAGTACTTTAGGACCAGAATATGATATACCTTTTAAGTCTATTTTAATCTATAATGTCTCGCTTTCTCTTTTTTCTGTTATAAGTTACTTGCTAAAGAAACTGTTTTTCCTGCTCTTTTGTTTCTTATAGTCTGACTTTTGCTGATTGAATTCTTTTAGTGCAGCTTAGCATGTTCCTCTGTGTTCTGTATCTCCTGTAGATTGGTAGTTGGTTATAGAGGGGATCTAAAAACCATTTTTTCTATAACAAGAAAAAATGGTTTTTAGATCCCCTCTATATCCAACTACCAATGTTTGTGTCTTCCACCAGGAGGCACATCATACCTGCTTATCTCTCCTTCCACTATGTTAACTAAGTTTAATTTGATTCACTTTAGTTTTAACAATTCAGGGTTTTTAGAGAGAGAGGCTGGTATAGAGCATAAGAGCTCCAGAATGCAGTAGTCTGGATTCAGGCTTTGACTCTTGGCCTACTAGTTTTGGAATTTTGGGAAGTCACTTCCCTTCTGTGTTAAGTTCCTTATCTGCTGGGGTTGATGATGCCTACTTTTAGGATTGTTCAAATTAGAAGAGATAATGCATGGAAAAGAACCTTGCACAGAGCCTAGCATGTAGTAGGTGGTCACTAAACGTTAACTGTTGTTGTTTTGTGAATTTGAACACATTCTAAAATAATCTAAAGGATAGACTATCTTGAGGAAATTAAAATTTAGATAGCTTTTTTTGTTTTTTTTGCTCACCTGGGGTTTTTTGGGGAAAAAGTAGGTAAATTATTCAACTGAGGCGAAGTAGCTCACCATTGTCCCCATCAAAGTAAATAGTTACATATAGTAACCGCTATTCATAAACTTAATTTCAAAAGCGATTTTTGCCAGTGCCTCCGACGTTGGTGTTGTGTTCATTTTAATTGGCCCTACCTAATGTTGGCAAGTTCTGTTTCATAGGGAGCTTACTGTTAATATTTTTATTTTACAGTGTAATGTTCAAGCTTAGAAATGCCTTATGTGGATCGTCAGAATCGCATTTGTGGTTTTTTAGACATTGAAGAAAATGAAAACAGTGGGAAATTTCTTCGAAGGTACTTCATACTCGATACCAGAGAAGATAGTTTCGTGTGGTACATGGATAATCCACAGGTTTGTAAAATTCCAAGGATTATCTTTTAAAAGCGTAGAAAGTTGTATTTAAGTATTTGACATACTATACAGATTTTAGAATTTGTCTTCTTAAACAGTATATTTTTAGATTTATTTCCACTGGCTGTACTCTCTGCTCTGCACCCTTGACCTCTGCCATCTTGTTTGAATTTCAGAAGGTAAAACTAAGTTTATTTGATAAGAATTAATCCTTTGTATATATTTTTCCTTCGAGAGAGAAATGCTCTCTCTGATAGAAAATTACGTTTTAGGAAATTAGATCTTGAGTCACAGAAAAAAATAATTGAAGCTGTCCCAAAAATAAGAAATACTTTTTTTGTGACATGTATTTTAAACAATAGCTAAAATAAAGACCAGGGATAGATGATTTAGATGATTTTCTTGCATTAAGGAGACTTAATACCAAGGTCTCTTTCATAAGATTAAATTTAGGTTTAAGTTGCTGTATCTAGGATAGAGAGAGAGAGAGAGAGAGAGAGAGAGAGAGAGAGAGTGTGTGTGTATGTGTGTGTGTTTTGAGACATAGTCTTGCTTTGTCACTCAGGCTGGAGTCCAGTGGCTTGATCTTGGCTCACTCCAATCTCCACCTCCCACTTCGAGCAATTCTCCTGCCTCAGCCTCCCCAAGTAGCTGGGACTACAGGCGCATGCCACCACACCCGGCTAATTTTTTGTATTTTTAGTAGCGATGGGGTTTCACCATGTTAGCCAGGATGATCTCGATCTTCTGACTTTGTGATCCGCCCGCCTCGGCCTCCCAAAGTGCTAGGATTACAGGCGTGAGCCACCGTGCCCAGTCAGACTGTTATTTTTTAATAAATAAATGACTCAACTAGATGATACCCTTGCACATTTGTAGTCCTTTCATTTTGTTGTGTCAGATTTGAGTCAATCATTGTAATGCCATCCATGAACTGAAATGCATTTTGATTTTACTGCTGGCTTGCAAAACATAGGGGTAAATGTTGTAATTTAAGAATTAGAATCTCAGTTTTAAGGTCTGTAAGGGGCCTGAGATTAGATATCATTTGTGGAGTAGTTTTAAACTTTCAACTTTCTCTACCTTGGAACTTTTTTTTTGAGAGAGAGCCTCACCCAGGCTGGAGTGCAGCAGTACGATTTTGGCTCATTGCAACCTCTGCCTCCCAGGTTCAAGTGATTCTCATGCCTCAGCCTCCCGAGTTGCTGGGGCTACAGACATGCACCACCACGAAGCATGGCTAATTTTTTGTATTTGTAGTAGAGACAGGGTTTCGCCATGTGGGCCAGGCTGGTCTTGAACTCCTGACCTCAGTTGATCCTCCCATTTCGGCCTCCCAAAGTGCTACAGGCATAAGCCCCTGCACCCAGCCTTTTGGAACTTTTTATCTTCAAATAAAAATTGTTGTAAAAGTTAAAAATGGGGCTGTATGTTGCAGGGAAGCATGTGCAAAGCAAGGGATGAATCTCTAGCAGACTTCGAAGCTAATTTTTGTCCAGTAGGCTTCTTCTGTGGGTGAGGAATGGAAAGTCCAGGGAAGAGCAGAGACTTATATAAGGTTCTGCCCTGTTTCACAGAGCAAGAACTAGGTCTCTTGATAACTAGTGCAGTATTCTTCACTATATACTGATTTTAGATTCGACAAGATACAGATATACTCGTGTTTATGTTTATGTAGAATTTGAGTTGTAAGGGAACTCTCCTCACCCATATGAGCCATTGCACAGTTCTGGCTCTTTTCTCTCCCTGATTTTTCTCTCTCTCCACACGGTTTGGTTGACATATGTATGGTTTCTCCTTAATTTTACTTGAAACTCCTTGATTATTTTTCTGTGTTCCTACATAATAGATTCTTCTTATCACTTTTCCTTTATCAGTACTACCCATTTAACAGAACTAAAAGGAGTTAAGTACAAAATAGAATATATTTACTACTCTGAATAAGACATGAACTTGGAATTCAGAGAAAGGTTATACAGCTAATAGGAGTTGAAGTCTTCATGGAAGTGGTAACATTTGAAATTGACTTAGAAGTTTGGATATAATGACTAAGGATGGAAAAGTGAGTATTCCGGTGCTCAAAGAATAGTGTGGACAGAGATCAAAGCAAGAGAGCCTGTGACGTATTTGGAGACTAGATCATTTTGGCTATAGCGGGGGGAGTATTTGTTAGGTTTGCACTCAGCTAGGTCTTAGCCACATGAACTTTTAAAAGCTAGATCTCTATGTTGGAATTAATGCATTGGCTTTTCTGGACATAGTGCCAATTTTTTTAAGTGCAGAATTTCAAATCTTTTTCAGTTCTTATTAATTTTGTATCTTCTTTCCAACTTAGGAAATCTTGACTCTGCCAGCCAGTGTATTAGCCATTAGTACCAACTTTGTGTCACTCTTAAATGTAATAATCAAGACATACCTACTCATGAAAACTTTAGTAAAATGTCTTGCTAAGATTATTATATTATTTTCTTTCTTTACCAGGGTTATTGTGATCAGTATAACCGTGTTATTGCACCTTGACATAAAGCAATTAGATTGAACCATATGAAATTGCTAATATACAACCATTTTGAATTACTAAAAAAATGGTAACTTTGTATGTTCGATCTGGTTGCTTATGTCAAAGTACAGTAACATGGTTATCAAGCTCATAATAACCTTGGTAAAGAAAGAAAATTAGTTTGATTCATCTGTTATTAGGGAGCCACTTTTTCCTCTGACCACTGCTTCATTTACCACTACCCACTGGTTTAAAAATTCATTCTGTTGTTTGTTAGGGATTACTTTGGGGCCTTCTGTGCTTTGTCAAGGAGGTTGGTAATGATGGAGAATGGAATAATTAAGTAGCTGTACGAGAGAGTGCATCTGAAGAGATTTAAAAAAGCATTTGGCAAAATGAGTTTAGGAACTCATAATCAACAAACGGCCTGTTTTCCTTTTTTTCTTTTTTTTTTCTTAAATGTTGTATTAGTTTATTATTCCTTGTTCATTGTCAAGTAACATATTTTGAATCTCTCTCTCTTTTTTTTTTTTCCCCAGTCCAACCTGATGGTAATCATTCTAGTCCATAGAGACTGGGTATTTTGAATACCGTTTTTGTCTTAAGCTACTTACGTTTCCCTGTAGTGTACTACTGTTACTGTGACACTCTATGTCATGTTTTGGTTTCTCATTTCTCTTCCTTCCACAAAGGCCTTGAGCTCTATTCAGCAGCTAAAATAATAGGCTCATGGAACACTTCAAGAAATAAATTATTACCCTTGAATGGAAGGGTAACAGTTTTTGAAATAATCACTTTGGTAGTAGTTAGAGATTCTTCAAGATATATTTACATTTCTTTTCCTTCTCTAAGATTAACCAAAAACCCATAAATATAAAACATATATAAGAATACAAATAGCTTTTTAATGTTATACAATAATTATAATTTTATGTACATATTTACTATTTATGATTTGTATTTGGAAGCTTATACATAGTATATAGTTTAAAGCAGAACATAATTAATGCAGTGTTACAATATATAGGCATGAAAGTTTTGAAAAGATGTGTCCCTGTCAGCAATAAGCAGTTCATGTTTGGGAATCTTAAGACTTTGAAATGTCTAGGCTTCCAGTTACCTCCTTATCAATTAATTAGAACAAGCCCGTAGATTTTTTTTTTTGAGTACATTATTATAAAGTCAGTTGAAAAGTTGATCCTGCCTAATCTCGAGCAGAAATAATTTTCAAAATCAACTGAAACTAATGTTTTCATTTTTACTTCTGAAATCTATCAGTCTTTTCATTTATATGTTTTGTTTCTTTTCCTCAGATTCTTCTGCCTGGTTTTCCTACCTCTACCTCCTCCTCTATAATCCATTCTGTTTATAAGATATATTAATTAAAGCATAATTTTGATTCCAGATTTGCTCATAGCCTTCTTCATTGGATTCAAATTCTCTACAATATAAATTCTTTGCTACTTTGATTTTTATTTAGGTCCTCTAGGATTAGGTTCTCAGTTCAAGTTTTCGGACCACTGTTTTGTACTACAATCTTATAGGGCACTACATCATATACAGCCCAACACAGCTACTCTCTCATTCTAGTACAGAGCTTCTGTGCATCTTCAACTGCTTGCCATAGTTTCTCTGTTTTCTCTGCTTGGAATATTCTCCCCTGCTTTTGTGTTTCAAAATTTTCCTTAACCTCCAGCCTAAATGTTGTTCATTCCTTCAATTTTTCTGAGTAGTTTCAACCAGAGATGATTCTCCCTCTTCCAAATTCCTTACCTTTAGCTCTTTTGTGATGCAAACTACATCTAAAACTTAAGGGAAGAATGAAAATACTGTGTGTGAAAGTGCCTACATTCCCTGCATATGATGTAAAGAGAAGCAAACTTTTTTTAGAAAAAAAGAATCAATGTAGATTAATATGACATAACATAATAGGGTGGAAATGGAGTCCGTTTTTATCAAGAGATATTTGATAAGTTTTAATAGAACAAAGCAATATGTATAGTCTTTTAAAGTATCTTACAATTATATTTGTTTTATGCCTCTAAATATTTTCCCATTGCTTTCAGAAACAAAACCTGATCGTGTTTATGGCATTTTAAGCTCACAAAAAAGATTATTAGTTTAGCTTCAGTGATAAAAATAGCCTTCTAGTCATAGAATGCATGATGATGGAACAGAGTAGGATTCAGTTTTGTCATCCAAGCTGTGGACCTGATTCCAGATCTAGTAAAACTTGAACAGAAGAAAAGTTGATTTGTAGAATGTGATATTAAACAATCGAGTTTTTTAACTTGTCAAAAGTATATGTGCAACATTATATTATAAAATGAATTCATAATATTGGATACTAATTATATATTAATAATTTGTTTCTAGAACCTACCTTCTGGATCATCACGTGTTGGAGCCATTAAACTTACCTACATTTCAAAGGTAGTCTTTATTATACATTGTCTTCTATTCATGTGTGAATTAAAATCCCTGGGAATGAGAGTATGAATAGAAGCAGCAGTTTCCTTTCTGTGTCCTTTAACAGTGATGTTCAGATTGCTGTCATGCTGAAACAGTACCTGGTTACTATGTTTAGGAAATTCTTTAAATCGATACGATTATGAAGAATATGATTTTAACTTACAGGATGTGGCAAATTGCAAAAGTTAACATTAACTTTTTTTTTTTGAGACAGAGTCTCACTCCGTCACCAGGCATGAGGCTGGAGTGCAGTGGCGCGACCTCGGCTCACTGCATACCTCCGCCTCCCAGGTTCAAGCAATTCTCCTGCCTCAGCCTACCGAGTAGCGGGGACTACAGGCTCGCGCCACAACGCCCAGCTAATTTTTTTGTATTTTTATTGGAGACAGGGCTTCACTATGTTGGCCAGGATGGTCTCGATCTCTTGACCTCGTGATCCTCCCGCCTCGGCCTCCCAAAGTGCTGGTATAACATTAACTTTTATGATCAGATATATGAACATCAGAAAGGGAGAAATCAGTGAAACAATTAAGTTCTATCTTGAGAAGGTCTGGAGATTTTTCTAAGTCTGTATTATGTTTAGTTAGACTGTTTCCAACTTTTAAATCCCATTGCCTTTGATACTTTGTTTCTTAATGTTTTATTTTGAGGAAAATATGGACCATTTTTTATTTTGAAAGGTTGGTTTCTTCTTCCTCTTTTCACTTTGTGTCTTTTAATTTCTGTTTTCTCTTTGTTTTTCTGGTAGTTTTACAATGCTATTTTTAAAAAAATTTTTAAAAATGTTGATTTTATATTCATCAGGTACCTTTTTTTCTTATTTTCTTCTATTAATATTTAGGGAACTAAGAAATGCTGAGGTGCTAGCTGTGTGTGTGTGTGTGTGTGTGTGTGTGTGTGTGTGTGTGTGTGTGTTACATAAAAGCAATAAAAGTTTGTTGATGACTTAAAATATGAGATTCAAAAGGTAACAATACAGTATTATTAAATAATATGGGTACCATTATGCATATACTGAGATCTGTTGGCATAGGTAGATCACTTCAATGGAAGACCAATTTACAAATGTGCTTCTGTTTAAAAGACAGATGTTATATAAATAAAGTACTTTATATCGGTATTACAATAGAGGTATTCATTCTCATTGACCAAAAAGAAGAGAAAAGTAATTAGCCCTTGGACAATAAAATTACATATTTAAAAAGAAACATTTTCCAGTTAAAATCATATTATGTAAATTTACATATGACAAATATTGTATGGAAGCTCTTTCTTAAGTATTAACTCAGTAAAGTAGGCATGGTGACTGGCCACCTGCTTTCCCCTCCTCCATTGCTCTTCTTTTAAAATGTAACTTTTTTCCTGTGCGGTTCTGTTAACTTTCATCTTGTCCTCCAGCTTACCAAAGTTTAAATTGTGCAGTTTGTACTCTACTTTGGATATACCAGTTTTTTTCCAAAAAAAGTTTATTCCAAAAATTTCTAGAACAAAATTGTGTGTGATTCAGAACTATGAGTTTGTAGTTGGGATCAGTGAGGAACCCCAGACTTAGAATTCCTTTCGTAGGTACAAAACAGATGCTACAATTATGAGTTCTCTCACTGGACAACAGCATGACAATAGTTGTGAATGAGCTTCTGGGAGCTGCTCTATTTAAAGGGATAGCAGCAACCAAGTGCAGCTGATTGCCTCATTTTGTAAAATGAACTATGAGCTGCTCTTAATAAAGTGATCCCATTATCCCCCGTGCAAGAGAGGCTCCGGTACCATTTTGATCTCCTCATAGCAGAGTAATGCCTTAATTAATTATTAAAATTAAGATTCAGTTAAATGCCTGGATTTGTGGACTTTAAATACACAGTGTCCCCTTTACCCATCCCCATTTTTGCTTAAAAATCACAGCTAATTAAAAAATATGTTATTTGGGAAGAATTCAGTTCTTGTGGAATATTCATTGAGGATATTTTGAAAATTATGTTACACCAAAAATACTTGTCTGTGTGACATAAAACCTAAGAGAAAACAAGTTTGGTCAGAGAAAATATGGAAGTATTATTTATTACCTCTTACAGTTGGGAACTGCATCGTATGTATTGAATTTGCCATTCTTTTTTGGTTGTCTTTAAAGTTTAATTTTAAATCTACTGGCTAAATGTGTATGATTATTGGGAAATCATACATGTGGAAGTTTTGGTTTTAGGTTTATATGAGAAAGTGAGGAACCCATCTATCTCTGTTTTTCCTTTTAGGTTAGCGATGCTACTAAGCTGAGGCCAAAGGCCGAGTTCTGTTTTGGTGAGTAGCCATGTTATATGTATTTTAAATTAGACTGGTATAATTGTATCGTATTGTAAAAGAAAACTCTTGCAGAAAACCACACAAAACCTATGGCTTACTGAATTATTCTAAGGTGAATTCCCTTATAACCACTATACAGATAAGGAAATAACGTTTTTCACCCACTCTCCTCCTAACCCTGAAGCCTCTTTCCTGTTTCCCATCCTAGTTACTACCACCTTCTTCTACCTGTATGTAACTGTTATTTTGTGATTTATAATGATCACCTCCAGTGAGATTTCAGGTAATTTTAAACTTTCTACCTTATGTTATTGTCTATTAAACATATAAATAATTAAAAGGATTTGGTCTTTAGCTTGTGGGTAGTGAGAAATGTAGTTTGGGGTCAGAGTAGTTGAGAATATTGGATTAACTTACTCAGAAAATGTTTACTGTATGCCAGGCACTGTGCTTGGCACTTGGGGCTGTAAGATAAATAAGAAGTAGTTGCTGCCCTTAAGGTTGGTTGTCTCATAGATAAAAATACCAGACATTTATTATTGCATTTCTCATAACCTGTAGATAAAGGGATATGTGATCTATTAAAGAAGCACAGAAAAAGACCTTCAAATCTTTGTTGGGGAGCTCAGGAGTCAGGGAGCCTCCCTAGAGGAGGAGATGCTTACATTGGTGGCCAGCTAGACTCCTGCTTATCCCTTATCGGTGCAGAGAAAAGGCAGGAGGACTACATGCATAGAGGCTTGTAGAGAGAAGCGCGTGGTGTCTCTGGAGCTGAACACTGTGAAGCTGGAGGGTATGATGAGTGGCTAGAGAGTTAAAAAGGCAGGCAGAAGCCAGGGTGCTGTGTTTTGATGAGTGATAGGTTTTATTACTTTGAAAAAGGGAGAAGAGAAAGAGAGCATCTGGAAAGCAGGCATAAGGTGAAGGAGGTTTGTTTTTTTGTATGGATAGGAAAGTTTTCATGTAGGTAGACTGGGTAAGTGGCTTTTGAACTACTTTACTTACGAAAGGTCCTGAGTTAGGGTGGTGGCAATGGGAGAAGGAGGAAGGGTGAAAAGAAGGAAAAGTACAGGGGCTTGGTGGATATGGAAGAATTGGAGGGAAGAGAGAGGTAGCAGGGAAGTTTGCTTAAAGCAATGAGAAGTCAGGGAGAGCTGTTTACATAGCATAAAATGTTTGCTCTGGGGTTGAAATGGTGGGGAACTTCCAAATGGAAATGTTCTGTTGACAGTAATTGAGGACTGGATGGAGCTTGAGGATCAAGAATGGAGACATTTGGAGTCTGTTAAAAAGGGAGTCATAGTCGAAGCTACGGAGAATTGATGTCCTCTCAGAGAGTATGTTAGTGGACGTTAGTGACTGAAGGACCAAATATTTGGAGTGGCCAACTAACATCACAAGGGATACATTAAAGTGAGAAAGATACTTTTGGGGGTAGAATTGAAGTTCTTTGCCCTCTTGCTTGAAAAGGGCAGGTTTCTTTAGGCACTAGTTGGGAATAGCATCTTAATATGAGCAAGATGAAATGTGGCTGTCAAGGGAATCCTCTGAAATGCTTTTATCCTCCTATGAAGCTATTTTTAAAAGTTACATGTTTATTACTTACTATAATTTTGGTTATGAAACAGGAAGATGCCTCAGAGCCTTGTAAATGAATGGGTATTGCAAGTCAAATAACTGAGGACTTTGTATTTCAGAATGTATAATGTACATACTTTTGACAATCCTTTTTTTTTTTTTGAACCTCAAACTTACAGAAATAATAATATACAATAATAGGTTTGACATTCATCATTACTGGGGTATTTAGAATGGGTGAGTTTAGTTGGAATAAAAAATTAAGATGAGTCATTTATAGGTCAGTCAGTAGCTGTTCTCTATTACCAGTGGTAGTAAAGATTCATGAAATGCTTACCTTTAGAAACAGAGGCACTGACTTCTAAAATAGCACCCAACTTTCATTCAGAATGCCAACGTATCTTCTCTCAAATTGTCCCAAACCAGTGAGAACAAGAACACTCAAGCCATTTTTGATGGAGGGAGCAGACTATTTGTAACCCTCAGTGTGTAAAGTTGAAAAGTAGATAGAGGAATGGTAGATAGTCGAGCAGAATAGAGGAAGAGGCCAATGAAAAGCTCACCATTTAAGTGTTCTGCCTCCAAGCCAACTCCAGATAGGCTTAAATATAGGAGATTCATTTTCTGGCAAGCAGCAGTAAGGAAGGACCAAAAATAGGGACTTTGTTTGCATATCTATATCAGAAACAACCTCTGTTCCCTACCTCCATCCAGGTTGATCAGGCAGACACCTTTCCCCTGTCCCAGCAGGAAATGGGATGTGTGGTGTCTCTAGAAGTGGAATCAGTGAGGCTATAACTTAGGGGCGCTAGTCCCAGAAAGGGAAAGGAATGAAGCATGAAACTGAAAATAGGAGGATTAAATGAAAGTCTGCACACTGAATGCAACCCCAGCCCCAGAGCACTGGGCAGCCAGGTTTAGGTGAGTAAGATCCGAATACTCTAGAGAAAAGATCCATAGATACTGACTGACATCCAGGCATTTCTGCTAGAAGAGCTTGCCATAGCTGACTAGTGAGGGCGACAGTCAACAGCCCTGCAACAACCCAAGAGAGCTTTTCATCGGCCTTTTTAGCACTTTCTTTTAAAATATGAATAGACAGCCCAGGATTACTGAACATATGTTGAGAGAGAGGATTATCAAACAGGAGAAGGGACATGAGACAATGCAAAACTCAGCAGAAAAAGTCAAAGAAATCTGAAAGTAGAACAAAGGTCAAGATAGATAATGGAATAGAGATAAAAAAAAAACATCGGGGAAGTCCAACATCTGATAGAGACTGAGGACAGATAGAGTACTGAATAGAGAAAACAGATTGGGGAAAATTGACAAAAAAAAAAAAAAAAAAAAGATACCTTAGAATCTCTTGATCCTAAACTGTATATTCATAACCAGCTGATCTCAGGTTGTGAGATAATTTTTGTTTGCAGTTAAGCTAATGTTTATGCTTCAAGTTTTATCCATTTTATGTATTCTTTCTAATCATAAAGATTTGAAATGAAATAAATACTCAAGTGGAAAAGGTAGGAAGGATACAAGCCTCTAGGGATGCATTTATTATTCACAGTGAAATCTATGCTTTAGAAACATGGCAACTTAGCAGTGTCAAAGTTTGTTTCTTTTTTTTTATTGTTCAAAGTTTTTTCTTTCTTTCCCTTTCTCCCCTCCCCAGCAGTATTGCTAATATACCACATTTCAGTAACTTGCTTTACTTTTTTTTTTTTTTTCTTTTGAGATGGATCCTCACTCTGTCCCCCAGGCTGGAGTGCAGTGGTACAGTCTCCACTCACTGCAGCCTCCGCCTCCCAGTGATTCCCCTGTCTTAGCCTCCTAAGTAGCTGGGATTACAGGTGCTCGCCACCACACCCGGCTAACTTTTGTATTTTGAGTAGAGACAACGTTTCACCATGTTGGTCAGGCTGGTCTCAAACTCCTGACCTCAAGTGATCTACCCACCTTGGCCTCCCAAAGTGCTGAGACTACAGGTGTGAGCCACCGCGCCCTGCTTTACATTTTTTACAGTGCTTCCCTACTTCTTAGAAATCTCTAGATGATGACAGTGAAGAATATTCTGTATCAAGCACTGTGTTAATTTCTTTACATATATGATTGTTACCCCTTAAAGAAGTGGAAATGTGGCATTCCCATTTCACAGGTGAGGAATATTGGCCTCAGAGAAATTCAGTAATGTTTGTAAGATAATATTGCTTGTAAGTGCATAAGCTAGTCAGGTTGGACTGATTCCAGGCTGATTTTTTTTCTATATCATACCTGTATAGCTACATCTTGTCATGAAATAGTTCTTAAAGTACATGAGATTTTATTCGGATTGCAAGGTATACTAGGAGTCTTTTTTAGAGACATATTTACATCTCTTCCCTTCCTTAGAAGAGATCCTTATATAAATATGATTTATTCAAACATATGTATTAAGCATTTACTGTGTACCAAGTGTAGTATATTAATAAGTGCATAGATTTTTAAACTCTTCAGATGTTCTGGGCAGATGCCCAAAATAACATTGAGGGGAAGAAGCCATTATGAGGAGAGCTCAGCTTCAGCTTAAGCTGAAAAAAGATTATAAAAGGAAGCCTTACTGATGACTGGAAATAAAAACAGAAGTTCCTTATTGATATATATAGCGTCCTAGTGAGTTATGGATTTATCTTAATATATATTTATGGCATTTATAACTTCTCCAGTCTATAGAAAGATATACAAGAACAGATTTACATTGTGTTAAATTTCTTTTAAGGTTATAGACTGGTTGTTTTGTAGCGCTTTACAAGATAGGCTTTGACTTCCTTTTAAGACCTTCATCTCAATTCAAGGAAGCTGTAGTTTAGAGTGTCTTGGTCTCAGTTCCAATTTCAAAATCTTGTATGTTTTCCTTAAGAGTTTGCATTTCCCCCTTCTCTTAGTCACATTCAGCTGTATGCTAGTATATCTTCTAAAATTTTGGTGGAGACCTTTGGAAGTTATTTTTATATTTGAACAATTGCAGCCGTGTAACTGTTCAGATACTTAGCTCCTAGAATATGCTTTTAAAAATAAATGCATATGGTGTATAATAAATAGCTTTAATTCAAGAGTGAACTATGATAGTTTGTAGACAACTGTATGTGCACATGTCCTTTGCTTTATACGAGTACATAGTCCCTAAAGGGGTATATATAAACTAAATTGCATAAAAGTTCCAAATGTATTAAGATTTAAAGTATAAATGAAATTCATAAGGTCTAGAAAAATAAATCTTAAGTTAGGGAGATTTTCTAGATGATATGAAATCTGGACACATTTATAGAAAAGATTCATAGTATATTTCTGTCTGATCAAAAATACTGTTAAAGTAAAAAAAAAATGACAGACTGGGAAAAGTACTGGTAATAAAGCAGAAAAGATTATATAGAAGTTCCTATAAATTAATACTAAATGAACAATTCAGGAGAAATATGGGTAAAGAAAGTAAAACTCACAAAATAAATGCAGTTGGCTAATAAACATCTCAGTAACCAAAGAAATGAAAATTTGAACAAGGTACAATTATTTACCAATGAGGTTGTTAAAGAGTATTAGGAAAACACCGCACTAGGTATTTCAAACCCAAGGGATTTGTTAGAAGGAATTGGTTACCCAAATGTTGGAAGGCTGAAAGAACATGAAGGGAATGCTGAAGTAACCCAGAAATTAGGAACTGCATGAAGCAACTGCTGTTCAAGGTCTAGAGAGACAACAGGGAAGAAACAGTAGTATTACTATAACCGAGGGCACTGGAGGAGAAGCCACCATGGAGCTATTGGTATCCAAGGGGACTCTGCAAGGCTGGTGTAGGGGGACAGGAAAAGGCCTCCAACAGTAGCTGGTTGTGTGCTGCTGTTGGAGAGAGGTCAACAATGGCAGGAATCAAGGAGAGTCTCCTCTTTCTTTCCCTGCCACCTTACAGTCTCTCATCAGATTGGCAGAGAATGGCCTCAGCTGGGGTTTAGGAAATATCATTTGCAGATTGTCAGCCCCAATGCCACAGAGCCTTTGAAAACTAGAAACTAGAGGTATCCACAGGGGCTGATAACCAGTTCTGGGGAGGGGTTTTAGATGAAATAAACTTTAGCGTATGTGGTTGGTAGGAATATGAATGGATTCAACTTTCTGGGAAGATGATTTGGAAATACCTATAAAAATTTTAAATGTCAGTTTTCTTTGATTCAACAGATCTATGTCAGGAAATTTGTTCCCCAGAAATGCTAGCCAAGTGTGGAGAGATATATGTATATGGTGTTTCACTGTGTTATAATTTCAAAAACTGGAACTTGCCTAAGAGTCTATCATTAGGGGAGTGACTGAATATATTGTGGTGTATTCATTTAATGAAAAACATGGCCATGACAAAATAAGAGTTTTAGCTGTGTTATTGTGTGATGAAAGCAGTGTTATATGTGGTCTGATATATTTTGTCAAATCCACTGGAGTCATGGTGTTGAACCTAGCAAGGTTTTTCAGCTTCTGCAGAAATAAATTTAGAGGTAATAAGTACAATATTTGGTGAGCTATTTTTTTCCGTCAACAGTTATGAATGCAGGAATGAGGAAGTACTTCCTACAAGCCAATGATCAGCAGGACCTAGTGGAATGGGTAAATGTGTTAAACAAAGCTATAAAAATTACAGTAAGTATATTTATTTTTTTGAAAAATAAATATAAAACGTTTATAAAAAAATGTTCAATGTCTGGAATTATTCTTTTCATTTTGAAAATATACCTACCAAATGTTCCCAGCTTACCAATAGGTTTCATACGCAAACTTTGTTTAAAAGGCAGGGGTTCAGAATGTGAATATGTTTTCTTGTACCTGGTGACTGTTGCCCCTTTAATCAGCCCATGGTTGCCTTTTTAACCTATTATGTACCTAATAAGGAGGTAAATTACTGTAGATCTTAATCACTGCTTACAACGTTTCTAGGAGAAAATGCACTTAGCACATAGAGTTCTACCGGGAGGATATATTTTTTTCTTCTAGTATAGTGTAAGAGATTTCCTGCCACCTACCTGGGGAATAGGCACTTCTGTCTTCTAAGCCATGACTGGGATTGGGGTCAGATAGGGAAGGAGTTGAAGACAGGAGCAGGACAAGGGGAGATGAAGGCTGAAAAATGAGGGACAGGGATAGGGATTGTGTTTGAAGGGTTGTGGCAGCCAGAGGGTCCTGCCCATGTGACCCTTGAAAAGTTTGTCTTAGGCTCTAAACTTCCCACATCTGATTTTTTTTTCCTTGCGTTGCAGGTCTTGGTACCCTTGCCCTCCTTTCCCATGCTACAATTTCTTGCTTCTAACGTGTGCTTCTCTTTGTTTTTGGTTTTCTGATGAATATTTATTGATTACACTGTGCCAGATCTGGTTTTACCTAAATTAACTGGAAAAGTGAGGCTTAGAAAGATTAATGGCTTTTTACAGGTTTTATAGCTGGTAGACTATGGAGCTGGAAGCCCAGTCCAGTTTGTTGGGCTCTTGAGCCCGAACTCTAAAGAGCAGTGCCTTACTGCTTCCTGAAAAAGCAGCCCTCTCTTTACTCTTTTGTTCCTAAAGCCAAAAACCTTTACGGAGAGTTTGCTAGTGATAATGAGCTGCAAGTAGATAGGCTCTAATTTGATTGTACCTTGCCTCACCTTTCCCTTTACACTTTCGTAGAGAAATACATCATAGGCCTGCCTGGAAAATGTTGGGAAGGAGTTCTTGTGAGATTTGTGTCGATTGTGGTGTTTTCTTTTTGCTTTGTTTTTAATACAGCGCAGTTATTTACTGACCCTAAATGACATATTCTCAAAGAACATGTGCCCTGAAAGTCAGCATATGTTAGTCACTCGTTAGTTTTCATCTAAAATGAATAATTTCGTATTTATATCACAACACAAGAAAGAGTCAATATAGTTAAAGCTGTTCTCAGAGTTAAGTCAAATTTTTTTGTTTTGTACTAGAACAGCTTGTTACCACATGACAGAAAACGCCTACGCTCTGCATCTGATCTGTACATGAAGCAGAAGTTATTTTAGGTTTGTGCAGTTTCAGGAAAGCAATTTTTTGAACTGATTCAGACATATGTGTTTTTAAAAGTTTTTAGCTAATCATTTTAACTCTTTTAATAAATATTTCCCGCTTGAAAAAATTCTTCAGAAAGATAATATCTCTTAACTTTACTAAATTAATTCTTTTTTTTACAATTTACAATAACAAGCAGCGCACTGGTTTCTTAGTGCTTTACAAGAAAAAGTAGTGAATGGTCTCAGGCTTTTGACCGTTTTGCCAGGTCTTGAATTGCTATGTCTAAGTTACCAATGGTGTGAAACAGTCTTGTACAAATGATACTTAAGCTTTTTAGCATGATGGAGAAACAAATAGAATTCTAAAAAGACTTCTAGGCCGGGCGCGGTGGCTCAAGCCTGTAATCCCAGCACTGTGGGAGGCCGAGGCGGGTGGATCACGAGGTCAAGAGATCAAGACCAGCCTTGCCAACATGGTGAAACCCCGTCTCTACTAAAAATACAAAAAATTAGCTGGGCATGGTGGCGCGTGCCTGTAATCCCAGCGACTCAGGAGGCTGGGGCAGGGGAATTGCCTGAACCCGGGAGGCGGAGGTTGCGGTGAGCCGAGATCGCACCATTGCACTCCAGCCTGGGTAACAAGAGCGAAACTCCGTCTAAAAAAAAAAAAAGACTTCTGAATAGCTTTTGTGGTCTTGCAGCTTAGTTTTACATGTTGAAATTTTTATAGGTTTTAAGATAAATTTGTTGGTAAATGATTTTAATGTTTTTATAATTCACATTTGGAAAATATAAACACATAAGATCTAGAAATCCTTATTAATGTAGTGACTAATTATAACTACATTAAAGTGAATATAGAATTCATAGCACTTATTTAAAATAAACTTTAGATAGATACATATTTAACTCATAGGATAGCAGTGAAAGAATTTCCCATGCTTTAATAAGATATGCTTTATGTTAATTTTATTCCTTTATATCTTACCAGTTCTATGTGCATTTTATACATTTAAGTGTATTAAAGTGTGGAATCTCTAATTTGTTATATTTTCCTATGGAAATTACTGGTGATTTACATGTAGATTGTTTGAAAACTTAAAATGTATGTTTTGATATATGTGCACTTTATCTTTCTATGGAATCACCTCATTTTGGTCAACTATGTAATTTAGTTGTCTGCTGAGTACGGTGTGATGTATAAATTTAAAAATTTTCAAAATCCAAAATTAGAGTATGTGGTTTCAAAATAGAGGTGGTTAGAGGGCAATGGGCAAGAGAATGATATTTAAACTATTTCCTAGTTATATCATCTTGCCAATTTTATCCATTATCCTCCAACACTATAGTCTGTGACTTTCCTTGCTTAAGTCTAGGTGGGTGCCACTTGAAATCCTTTTCCCTTTACAGTTGCTTTTCAACTAATGATGGGGTTACATCCTGATAAACCCATTGTAAGTGAAAAACACAAGTTGAAAATCCATTTAGTACCCCAGCAAACCCACAGTAAAGTTGAAAAGTTGTAAGTAAGTCTTGGACCATCTGTAGTACACATGCACAAGAAGGAAAAGAGGAACAGTGGGAGAATCAACCCTGAAGGGGGAGTGTCAGTGACTGGAGTGAGGAACATTTTAAAGTATGCTTTCCACTGTTCATTTATAGTAATAACAACCTAAGTATGGTGGTTTCTGTTCCCTTATTGGTTTTTAAGGAATGTCTAAGATGTAGGTTTATTCCTGAACAGAGATCCATTGTTTTTAAACAAACGTCTTTTTTAAAATTTAAAAATAAATATTCAATTTGAATCTAAAAATTAGTTCTTTGAATTTGTGGCAGAAACTCCACAAGTTTAATTTATTTTTAATGGAAACGGGAAGCAAGTAGATGTAGAGTTCTCAGAAAGATTGTAAGACCCAGAACGTTGTGTCTGCGCGTTTTTATTCTCGGTGAATGGAACATTATCACAATGTCTTTTTTTTCTTTTCCCTTTCCTTCCCTTCCCCTCCCCTTCCCCTCCCCCTCCCCTTCCCCTTCCCTTTCCCCTTCCCCTTCCCTCCCCTCCTTTCCTCTCTCTCTCTCTCTCTCTCTCCTCTGTCTCTCTCTGTCTCTCTCTCTCTCTCTCTCTCTGTCTATCTGTCTGTCTGCTTTTTCTTTTTCTTCTTGCTCTGTTGCCCAGACTGGAGTGTAGTGGTGCAATCTCAGTTCACTGCAGCCTCCACCTTCAGGGTTCAAGTGACTCTCATGCCTCAGCCTCCTAGGTAGCTGGGATTACAAGTGTGTGCCACCATGCCCGGCTAATTTTTGTATTTTTAGTAAAGACTGGATTTCACCATGTTGTCCAGGTTGCTCTTAAAACTCCTGGCCTCAAGTGATATGCCCTCCTCAGCCTCCCAAAGTGCTGGGATTACATGCGTTAGCCACTGCGCCTGGCCCAACATCACATTTTCATTCTCAGGAATTGAATATCAGCTTTCCCTTTAACATTTGAGAAACCTGCAGCGTTTTCATGTATTTTACTCACAAATACTTAAATCTGTTTTTTTCATATCTTTATTCTCTAGTTTATTTTTACCTTTTCTTTTCCTGTTATTAGAATTTCCTACTATTAGGATCACATGCAAATGCCTGCCAAGAACACATTCAGATCTTCAACAAAAAATACAGTGACGTAAAAAAGGATAGAAAGTCAGGGAAAGGGAGAAAGGCAGTAGACAAAGAAACAAAGCGTATTCCGTGTCTGCCATGTGCCAACTGCTCAGTGAGATCACTTTTCTGATTTTCATTGGACAGCTGGATGGTTTGGGGCAGGGGGTGTCCCTGAAATTAGATAAACATTAAGAAAATGCTTATCTTAATGGATGAATTTAGACCAAGTTTTCCAGTGGTACCTATGGTTTTTAAAGGAGTTACCCATATTCACGGGTATTTGCTTGAACTTTCTTGTTCATAGGGAATAAGATGATTACAAGTTAGCCATTCTAAGTTAATTATTAGCATTTGATTTTATTATAAGGACATATTAGAAGCAGTGAGTTTAACAGCATAAGCAAGGATTTTTAATATATTGTAATTTAAGAACGGAAAAACGAATATAAATTTCAGTATTTTTTAGGATGACTTTAAAGGTTTTTCTTAATAACTCCCATGTATGACTAAACTTCTTGGGAGAATAACTGCTACTTTTCTTATGAGTTACCTCTTAGCAGCACCTCTCATCAAATCTAGTTGAATAGATTGTTTTCTCTCTGGCTTCAAGTTCTCTTAATGCTATTTTCTGTTCTCAGTGAGCTAACTGGCCATATTTTCTCTGTCAGAATGATTGAAATATATGATGCTATTCATTAGAAAATATAATGGGTTTCCTTAGCAAATTGTTCCAGGATATACCATCCTAATTTTATTTGACAAGTAAAATTCTGTTCATTATTTTATTGCCTTTAAAAAGCACTCCAAAATGTGCAAGTTCTTAAAAGAATTGAAGAGGTATTCATGATTCTCTTCTCTTTCCTGTTTTCTCTCTCTTTTGTTTCTGCCAGTGATGGACATTGTAGTATGAATATGAACCAGAGGCTGGAGGGTGGGCCTGAGGGCTGAGAGAAACCACTTCAAGGGAGGCAGGTGGGGAAGGAAGGGAGAAGGAGTTTTAGAAGTCACCTCAGAGACAAGTCATTTATTATATCCATAAATTACATTTGTGTGGATTGGGATTTACTGTAGCTCCATGGCCTTTCATATATACATGGACTATGTTTACTCAGTATTTTGCAAAAAGCTGCTTTACAAATCCTTATCTGCATTGTATACTCTCTTCCACAAATCTGGTGGGAGTAGCATTGTATAGGAGAGCACAGGTTTTAGGGCAGTGTTTCTCAAAGTGTGGTTTATGAAACTCCTGCCTCAAAATATCTGATCTTGCTTAAAAGTGCAGGTTTTTGAGCTCCACTATAGATGTTGAGTCAGAATTTCTGGGTTTGAAGCAGGGGAATCTGAAGGTTTAAATAATGTTCCTGGGTGATACCTTGTGCATGCTAAAGTTTGAGAAACCACGCTACTATGGAATCACACTAATAAATGGTTTGAGTCTTTGAATACAATGTGAATGGTGTCCCGTAGCTCTATCAGTACTCTGTTAACAGGAATTAGCTGTATGACAGGCAAACTAAGTTAAATGTTTTTATACCACTACTTCTGTGATTGTCAGTAGTATTTGTCATAGTGTTTCTGAAAGACTGCAAGGTTCCACATGCCCTTTGAATCGTTGGAGAAAGACTGAATCATGTTCAACATCATAATTGATGCTGAGCAGATTTTATGACATTTTATTCACAGCCTTAAAAATGTATAATTTAAATACAGACTACATGCTTAACAGCCTACAGATAGAAATAATGATTAGCTGTGAGTACCTTATTTCCTGAATAGACCACATAAGAAAAGCTAAAATATATGTTAAACATTTGTGATACCTCTGATTCTTTCATCCACTTTAGTTAGGTGTTAGAAGATTCTACTGTTATCACAGTCATTGTTTCCCTGTACTTGTGAATGATTTATCATTGATCTCAGTGTTGGAATTTGGTCTTTAAATTTCTAGTGAAAAGTGTTGTTCTGAACCTTTTGATTTGTGTTAAGAATTTGCTTATTTTTTCTGCTGACTTTGGATTCTTCCATTGAGGCAGTCTTTCAACATTTATTGAATACTTACTATGGTTTTGGTAATAGTCTCTGTCTTGAAGCCAGGAAAGACTGAATATGCCATGATCCCAGAATCATGGGTAGGAATGGAGAAAGGGAAGAAACAGCAAAGAGCTGGAAGCCAGTAGTAAGCGTGCCAGTAAACAGGGTCTGAAGCACAGCAGATGGGTTTGGAAGAATTACACACACTTGGCTAGAATGTATTATAGTCAAGATCTCAGCCTGTCTTCCCTAATGCCCTGAGCCTATTTCCTTGTCTCTTAGGCGGGGGTAGAGCCCCTCTATGTAGGGTAGACAGGAGTAGGAAATGAGAAAAATGTGTGAAATAGTACCTGCCCAAGTAAGCACTCATTAAGTGATAGCTATATTATAAAGTATTATTAAAACAGAAAAAGTAGTGTGAGAACTTAAAGGAGTACATACATGGACTATAAATAATTATATGTATTTGTCAGCTAAATGCAAACAGACGATTAATTAGAAATTATGTGAGAAAACAGGTTCACATGTGTAATGCTGGTTGAAGAATGATTTATTTTATTTACGATTTCAGGTACCAAAGCAGTCAGACTCACAGCCTAATTCTGATAACCTAAGTCGCCATGGTGAATGTGGGAAGAAGCAAGTGTCTTACAGAACTGATATTGTTGGTGGCGTACCCATCATTACTCCAACTCAGGTTAATATTAACTCTTTTACTGTGTGAGGGTCTAATTATTGTATGTTGATTTTTGTATTATTTAAACTAAAACATTGTGTCTTTGCTGAATTAGTACAATACTCAATTACTATAAAATATTTTCATTTATTTCAGAAGTATTATGAAATATTTGGAAGTCACATAACATTGAATACTTTTCATGTTTTCTCTGAGCCTTTCTTCAGTGTACTTTTCACCTCAGCAGTGGAGAGATGAGTTCTATATTACACTTTGTAAACCGATTTTTTTCACTTAAATCATGAACATTTTCCAAGTCATCAAAAATCCCTTTATATCATTTTTAATGACTATATAGTAGTTCTTCCATGGATTTACCATAAATTACAAATCCTCTATTGGACAAATAGAGTTCTTTTCCTTTTTGTTTCTTTTACCTTTATAAACAATGCTACGATGAATATTCTTAAGTTAGCAAGTAGTAATTTTTAAAATCTATTTTTTCGACAACCTGGCCTAAGTGAGCTAAACAGAGGACAAATTTTAACTAAATTATATCTCAGAAGTACTAATATGCTAAATTAAGTCTTTATTTGGGTTTTAGGAAAAATATAGATTTATAAACAATTTTTGATGAAATTAAAACTCTTGTTTGAGCTTAAATTTCTTGTTTTACTATTGAAAAGGATAATTTGTAGTGGAAATTAAGTTACTAGTAGTTGAGAAACCAAGAATTTTAAAGTAATCAATTGGTATTGCCAAGCTTGGCATTTTTATTACCTGTGTGCCTTTTGAACTTTGACACGTTGTAAATCTTTTAAATGAGATTGTATTACACCCCACATTTTTCAGGTCTTTTGCTAGGGGAGGTGATTAGTGGGATTAGAAATCTTACAACATTAATTAATTAATTAACCATTGAGTGCTTTCTTTATGCTTGACAAAGGGTATGTTGGTGAACAAAAATTCCTGCTCTCATAGGAGTGTACATTTTTCACCAAAGTTGGATAAAAAAATAAGCTAGGATTGTGAATTTACTTTTTCCAAAATTAATGCTTTTAAGCTGTTAACCTTCTGTTTACTATGTAGCTAGATTAAGCTCCTTTCACTTGTATTATGACCTATGTTGACATAAGGGGTAAGACAATTTTCCTGTAGTTGTGTTAAGATATTGTATTAGTTTGTATCTGTGGCTGTTTTAATTTTGCTTAGAGTTAAGATTTTGTTGCATTGTAATTTTGGTATAGATATTTCAGTAGGTTCTAGGATTTTATGGGGGGGTGTAATTAAAAAAAATCTCATAGAATTTTATTGCGTCATTTATTTTGTAGTATAGTTTTAAACATTACAAAATAGTATCATAAAAGCATTTAGGCAATATAGTAATGAGAGAACACTAAATCTCATTTACATTAACGTATTCAGTATTGGATAAGCAGTGAGTTAAGTGCTAGGATTAAAAAGTTAAGTATATAATTAGTGTTGACCTGTCTAAACCTAGAAAGGGTTGAAAGTTCCTCAAGATATGTGTGACTCTTAGGACTTAGATTTTCTCAGAAAATTTAGATATTCTAGAAATATACTTTGGACTTATTTGTGGGATTCTAGATTGTCAGATATTATTAATAGGGAACTGGCTGGGCACATTGGCTCACGCATGTAAGCCCAACACTTTGGAAGGCTGAGGCAGGCAGATCATTTAGGTCAGGCGTTTGAGACCAGGCTGGCCAACATGGTGATACTCTGTCTCTACTAAAAAATACAAAAATTACCTGGGTGTGGTGGCGCATGCCTGTAATCCCAACTATTTGGGTGACTGAGGAACGGGAATCACTTGAACCCGGTAGGTGGAGGTTGCAAGTGAGCCGAGATCGCACCATTGCACTCCAGCCAGGGTGACAAAGTGAGATTGTGTCTCAAAAAAAAAAATCAGTCAATAAACAGACAGGGAACCAGTGCATCCAGGAACATGAAAACCTGGGTATAGTTTATTTTTATTTTTACTTTTTTGAGACAGAGTTTTACTCTGTCACCCAGGCTGGAGTGCAGTGGTGTGATCTTGGTCATTGCAGCCTCCACCTCTTGGGTTCAAGTGTTTTTCCTGTCTCAGCCTCCTGAGTAGCTGAGATTACAGGTGTGTGCCATCATGCCTGGCTCTGATTTTTGTATTTTTAGTAGAGGCGGGGTTTCACCATATTGGCCTGACTAGTCTTGAACTCCTGACCTCAAGTGATGATCTGCCTGCTTCAGCCTCCCAAAGTGCTGGGATTACAGGCATGAGCCACCATGCCTAGCCAATTTTTTTTTAAAAAACACTGGACTTACTTGTAAAACATATAAGTACAATACTTTTAGAAAACAGCGTAGGAGAAAATCTTGCTCTATGACTAAGCAGAGTTGTGATAAATCAAAAGCACAATCTGTAAAGCAAAAATAGGTAAATTGGACCTCATCAAAATAAAAAATATTTGCTCTGTGAAAACCTTCTTAAGAGGATGAAAAGAAGAGCTACAAACTGGGAGAAAATATTTGCAAACCACATGTCCAGCAAAGCACTAATATCTAGAACATATAAAGAGCATGTAAAGAACTCAGAACCCGACAGTAAAAAGCCCAAGAAATCAATTAGAAAATTCATGAACAGATATTTCATCAAAAGATAAGAAATACACAGGTGGTAAGCAAGCACATGAAAAGATGTTCACCATCATTAGGTAGTAGGGAATACAAATTAAGAGCATGATGAAATATTGCTGCACACCTGTCAGAATGACTAAAATAAAAGTTAATGATAACACAATGCTGCCAAGAATGAGGAGAAACATGATCTCTCAGGTGTTGCTGGTGGGAATGAAAAATAGTATAGCCACTCAGAAAAACACTTTGGAGGTTTTCTTTTTTTCTTTTCTTAAATAAAAGTAAGCTTGTGATTACTATACAACCCAACATTTGCAGGCCTAAGTGTTTATCGTAGAGAAAGGGAAAATTATGTTCACACACAAACTTAGGCATGAATGTTGATAGCAACTTTTTTCCTAATAGCTAAAAGCGGGAAACAACTCAAATGTCCTTTAATGGGTGAACAGTTAAGCAGTTGGTCATCCATCCATTCCATGGAATACAGCAGTAACAAGGAATGAACTCTAGCAAGAAGGAACAGACAGCCTGGACGAATCTCTAGAGAATTATGCTGAGTGGAAAAGATAATCTCAAAAGATAACCTCCTGTATGCTTCCATTTACATTATGTTTTCAAAATGTCAAAGTTATAATCTTGGAGAACAGATTAGTGGTTGCCAAGGGATTTGGGGGCAGGAGCTCTAAAGCTGCACAAGGGGGCCTTGGGGTGATGACTAGTCCTGGGTCTGAAATGTGGTGGTAGTTACACAGATCTACATATGTGATAAAACTGCATAGAACTGTATAGACACATAGACAAATGAATGTATGTCAGACTGGTGGACTCTGAATAAACTTTGTGGGTTGTACTAATGTAGTTTCTTGTTGTTGATGTTATGCAGTTTCCCTCTGAGGGGAAACTAGTTGAAAGGGTGTGTAGGACCTGCTGTACTTTTTTGGGGCAGCTTCTGGTGAATCTGTATAATTATTTCAAAATAAAAAGTTAACCCTTTCTCCCAAGAAGAGCACTGGTGGCAGGACTGGTGCAGAAGAGGAGTGGAAATTTGTGCTTTAACCAGTGACAGGAAAATTGTGATTAAGTATCTCAGATTAATTAGAAAACCCTTCAGAAATCTGTTTCTAACTAATCTAACATAGATTTTAAGATTTTCCATTGGGATAGCATGAAATAAAAGTATGCTTTGAAACTAAACAAGCAAGAAAATTATTTATTTTGCTTCGTTTTAGAAAGAAGAAGTAAATGAATGTGGTGAAAGTATTGACAGAAATAATCTGAAACGGTCACAAAGCCATCTTCCTTACTTTACCCCTAAACCACCTCCGGATAGTGCAGTTATCAAAGCTGGATATTGTGTAAAACAAGGAGCAGTGGTGAGTAGCCTAACAAAATATATGAAATAATGAAAAAGGATTATGTTCTAGCAAACTCAAATTAACAGGCAAATTGTTTGCCTTATTTTATGAAAGACCCAAAGTGAGAGACCAGCATGCTGAGGAGAGTCAGGAGATAAAATAGGGGTTATTCTGTGCTTAAAACTCAATGCTATTATTTGCTTGGTTTGTAGGGGACCAGGAAAGTTAATGCCTATTACCATTGACTTTCAGTTTAAATGAGCTTTCCTAACAGCTTAATGTTCTAGAAAGTTTTTCTGTTGATCTCCACTCATCCTCAGGAGTGGGCCAGGGAAAGAGAGCTGTAGTGGGGAGATGGCAGACCAGGGGCAGGAGAAGGAGTGGGGGGTGGTAGGATCCCTTTCTTGATTAGGCATTGGGCTAACCTCAGTGGTAAGCTCTGTGACCTTGGGCTACTTACTTAATCTCTGAGGCCCTCAGTTTCTGTTTTAAGGAATATCATATAAAACCTACCATCTAGGGTTTTGTTTTTTAAGAGATGTAAATAAGAGAGGTGTGTTTCCCTTTGCATAGCACCTGGTACTCGGTAAAAGCTGTTATGGGTTAGCGCAGGTATTCCCACATAATCAGTTCATGATGAATTTTTTTGCAAGAGCAAGTAAATTTACCAGTATTTCTGAGGTTGCAACATACCTTACTATCTAAGCCATTCTTTCTGTGTGAACTAAATCTTTAGAATTTCATAAGAAAATAAACTTTAAAGTTTGAAAATGTTTTTTAAAAGTCTGCGAGTAAATAAATAAAATTATTTTGGTTGTTCTGTTTGACTTCTCATCAGTTTTTGGCAACTCTAATTTTTTTAGGGCAGCTAGAGGAATGTTCTTTGACCCTGTTTGACTTACTTTAGGCTGAGGAAAATGGCGGTGAGGGCAGGGGTTTCTTACTGTAGAATGTCTGCAGGTAGAGTCAGAATTCTCATCAGGCTGTGATACTCGGTTTTATGTACAGACAGCCTGATGGTTCCTTTTTGTTTCACTCTTAAGTCCAAAATACCAGTCAGAGATATTTAAGTGCTTTTGCAAAAACTGTATTTTATTGACAAAAAATATTTGTACAAAATAGGTTTACTTTATTAAATATTTACTGCTTTACTAAAAAGTACTTGTGGAAGAATTCATGCATTTTTACAGATAGAGAAACTTAATGTGGTTTAATAACATTTCCTGTGTTTGCTCTTTACATGAGGCGGAAGGAGGCAGGGAGTAGGAGGAAGGGGAAGTGCTTTAAACTATAAAAACTGTTTCAGCATCAAAAATATTTAATAATAGCGTAAAACCATACAATAAAAAATGAAAGCCAGGCACCAAAAATTGAATTAGGAATTCAAAGCCTGGGTAGCTAGAGAAGGATGAGATTTAATTTATCGCATCTCTAAGGGAGGTAATGAGATTTTTCAGTGCTTGGCATGTCTCATTGTGGGTTCATATCAGGGTAATTAAGTGGTGACTAACATTTGACATTCTTAGAAACAGAAGTCTTATGTCTGTGTTCATCTCTGGTAGATGAAAAACTGGAAGAGAAGATATTTTCAATTGGATGAAAACACAATAGGCTACTTCAAATCTGAACTGGTATGTTGTTACATCATAAACGTTGCCATAAAAATGTTTGAAAAGTGTTGCATTGTAGTGATTATATATAATTTCTTGTACTGTTCTCTAGTGTTAGAATAACTAGTTTGTACAGATACATACAGTTTATTTGGTTGTGATGCTTTTGGTTAATAATATTTTTCTTAAATTTGTGGTTAAGTAAAAAGATCCTGTCTTCAAAGCGGCATTCTACCCTGAAAGATCTGAAGATCTCAGAATCCCCTAGTCTGTAAATTTTCCCTAAAGGGGCATCAGAGGAGCTGGTGTAAAGAATTCTGTCTATAAAGTCAACATTTAAGCCTCTGTATTTCTGCCTTCTCTTAATATATTCTTTACCTAGTTCAGATTGACTCATAAATCACTTCACATAAGATGTTTTTGTCTTCCCTGAAGGTAGAATCAGAGATTGAAATTCCCTCTTTGCCTCGTGTGAGTAGCATCCTTATTTAAAATATTGCTGGGTGACCTGAGCCCTGAAATAGCTTATTGGATAAATTGAATGCAATTCTGTACTACAAATGTCTATCCTACCTCTTCTTTTTGTATGGGATCTTTGACAAGGGAACTTTATACTTTATTTGGATGAAGTCACCAGAACAGCATTGTCCATTAGAACTTTCTGCACAAATAGAAGTGTTTCGTATATGTATTTTCCAATGGCACTACCTACATGTAGCTGTTGAGTGCTGGAAATGTGGCTAGTGTGACTGAGGAGCTGACTTTATTTCATTTTAATTAATTTAAATTTACATCATTATACATAATGGCCACTGTATTGGCCAGCAGAGCACTGATGTATAGGAAGGGAATAGTTTAAGATTGACCTCAGGAGTCAGCTCCTTCTGGGAAGCTTTTAGACTCTGGATTAAGTGTCTTCTATTTATATGTCCTGTGGTACCCTATGCATACCTGTATCATAATACTCTTCTCAGGGTTTTGCAGTCACATGCATACTTGTCTTTGCTACTAAATTAAATGAGCTCCTTGAGGGTAAAGACTCTTGTAGTCTTTTATGATCACAGGGCCTGGCACTTGGTAGACAATCGGTAAGTGTCTTTGAATTAATGTAAAATGGCATAGCACAGCAAGAAGAGGCATTTTAGCGTGTGGCTTTCTTAAAGCTTAAGAGCTTCAACTGGAAGTAGTAGTTACTTGGTTTAGAAAGTACCTGCCTTGTTGTCTCAGAAGGCTACAGTTGTGCTTGGTCAGCAGGTTGACTCATTGATTTTATTTAATGCCAATACTCCTGGGAAGAGTCATTCATGTAACAGACATTCATTGAGTTCTCCGTGAATCTGGCACACTGTTCTGGGAACTGGAAATAAAGGAGAATAATTAGCAAAGTTCTTTGGCCTCCAGGAGTTCAGTTTTGGTGGGGAAATTGACATGTGCCCCATCATCAACAGTAGTTTTAATAATTAGGAATATTTTCAGTATTTAGAAATTGCAGATGAAGCTGAAAACCTTTAAAGGCCAGTAATTATAACTATACTTACATTTTCCTAATTTTACTGAGTCTAGTTAATCTATCTCCTATGGTAGTTCTTTGTTCTTTTTCTTAAATTCCACAGAATAATGCCCAGCGTACAGGTTTTCAAAACTTAGTAAATATTTCTGTAGTAGTTCTTGTCTCAGCTTCTCCTCTCCCAGTTTTAACATTTCTGAAATCTTAGGGATATTTCTTAAGAGTTGCTAAGGGTGAGGGGCAGCCAGGCTGCACATGCTACCCTTTGGGTAAAATCCAGAAGACACCAGCATCAGCATGTGCAGAAAACAGTGCTGGCAGCTTCAGAGAAAATCTCAGGGATATCATGAAACATTCTTAAATGCTGCATCACCAACACTTTTTGGCATAAAGAATGGCTTGGAGTGAAAAACATGGACATTGGTGACTCCAAGTCAAAAAGTGATTCGGAAGATCTGGAATCTGGATGTGAAATCTTAAAAAACTATAACCAGTCCTGGGGCGGTGGCTCTCGCCTATAATTCCAGCACTTTGGGAGGCTGAGGTGGGCGGATCACCTGAAGTCAGGAGTTTGAGATCAGCCTAACCAACATGGAGAAACCCTATCTCTACTAAAAATACAAAAATTAGCTATGCATGGTGGCACCTGCCTGTAATCCCAGCTACTCAGGAGACTGAGGCAGGAGAATCTCTAGAACCCAGGAGGCGGAGGTTACAGTGAGCCGAGATTGCACCATTGCACTCCAACCTGGATAACAAGAGTGAAACTCCATCTCAAAAAACAAAAATTGTAACCAGTATATCTTGTTTATATTTTTCTCTTTTACATATGCTCAAGAATGATATATGATAAAAATGTTTAAAGTATAAATGGGCTCGTTTATAAAACCTTTTCATTGTGGAAAAGTATAAACATACACTTTTAATAGACAGAAGTAATATATGGAACCTGCATGTACCCATCACCTAGATGTCGTAATTGTTAACACATGGCTCAGCTCGTCTTGTTTCAGTTTTACGAGCCACTTCCTGCTTCATATTTTGAGGCAAATCCTAGATATCTCCCATTTCATCTGTAAATATCTCAGTGTGTATCTCTAAAAGATCATTTAAAAGTTTTTAAAATAAGTATAAAAGACTGAAGTATACAATTGAAAAACTGGTGAACATATTTGCACATATATTAGCGATAAAACTTAGAATCTTAAGAAATGAGAGGATTTTGCCCCACCTTCTTTGCCCTCTTTTCCTTTCGTCAATCCCAAACAATTCAGACCCCATTTTATTAGGTGAGGCAAAGCAACATAGGCATCCAAGAGGAACCAGTGTAGCCTTGTGTGGGTGTCAGAACCCACACAGGATAAGGAGGCTGTCTTCTTAGGGGGTTAGCTCCACGTGGAGTAGGGAGAGAAGGGCATCCACATGGGGTAGGGGTGGTGGCAGAGATGGGAGAATGGCCTCATACACACTGATTGATAAAATAAGGAAATATATTAAGGATAATAGAAGCCAAGTTTCTTGTCAGAGAAATAGTAGTTTTTGGTGAATGGATGTATATCTATATGTATGTTGAGGAATTAGATATTTACACAGTTTCAAAGTACCTGTCTACTAAAATAGGTATTAAGTATTGTGCAAGGTGATAAAGTAGCATTACAGCCAGGAAACATGGCAGATACCACTTTACTCAGGTTGGTCAGATGATTAAAATGAATGTCATTGTTAATGAAAAAAACTGAAATCACTTACCACCTGACAGGGTAGTGTTAAGAAGACAACATCACTTTGATGATTCTCCTGCCCAAGGTGTGTATTCTGAATCTCATCATGAGGCATACCCAAATGAGGGTCATTCTCCAAAGTAATACCTTGCACTCTTCAATAGAGTCAGGATTATGAAAGTCAAGGAAATAATGAGGAGCTGTTCCAGACTGAGGGAAAGAAAATATTTGATAAGCAGATGGTGTTCGTGCTTCTGAACGGAATTCTTTTGCTCTAATCAAAGTCGTTTTGGGCACAGTTTTTGATTCTGATGATTATGTTGTGATTACGTAAGAGATGTCTTTATAGGAAAAGTATTCAAGCGTAGTGTGGGACGGGTCAGCAACTCACTCTGAAATGGTTCAGGAAAATCAGGTCTTTGTGCTGTATTTTCAATCCTTGTATAAATTCATGATTGTTTCAAAGTTTAAAAAAGAAAATGGTTGGGAAAGTATCTGGTAGGCAAATGAACAAAAGACATGAATATTCAATTTAAAAAAATTAAAATAGGTCTTAAAATATTTTAAAAATTCAGCATCACTGATAATTAAAACTGCACTGAAATATTCTCATCTATCATGAGAAGGTTGTGGCTGAGTGAAGAGATTGGCAAATCCTTACCCATCCTGTCCAAAGGCAACTGTAAATGCCATTCTGTAAACAAAAGGAATCAGGAACCCTTGGCCATATAACTGATTTCAGAGTTGGGGCAGATAAAGTACCACCTGAGGTCAGAAAATGAAGTTGTGCCAGAAAATAAGGAAGTGCCTCAGAGAATGAATGGAACATGTCAAAAGGACACAGAAATTACTTTGAAGGGCCTGACCAAAATGCAGACAATTTAAACAACAAAATAAATAATGATAGCAATGGATTATAACCCATAGAATAAGATGAGTCATGAATAAATGAGAAGGAAAAATATTTACTTAGAATAAAATTCTGTCTTAATATATGTAGATGGATTGATGGGGTTAGAATAAATCACCATTTGGCAGCCACTAGTAATGGTTTCAGGCAAGAGGCTTCAGTGTTCAATAAAATTAGTGGCAAAATTATGATGGGAATCCCGATATTACATCAGTTCCAGGTATCTCCCACAAGATACTTAACAATGACAAAGGGAAAAAGTAATTTTATAGTTACTGGCAAACATGACCTTAAGCGAGAGATCAGAGTTAACACACCGGTGACAGGACAAGCCACCATCAGGTGTGTACCTCCTAATAGTGGTCCACTGAGAAGAACAGTGTCATGCCTATGGCTTCCTGTCAAAAATGTATAACCTGAATTTCAGCAAATATCAGACAAACTCAAATTGGGAGGTGTTCTACAAAATAACTGGCCTGGTCTTTTTAAAACTCTGAAAAATGATTGAAGAACTATTCCACAGTTAAAGGAGACATGACAGCTACATACAAGATATGACCCTGGATTAATTAAACCCTGGATCAGAAAATAGTTGTCCTTTTGCTATAAAGAATATGAGTAGGGCAGTTAGTGAAAGCTGAAGATGGTCCGTAGATTATAGTATTGCATCAGTGTTGAGTTTCCAGTTTTCATAATTGCACTGTGATTATGCAAGAGCACATCCATGTTTTAGGAAATACACACTGAAGTATTTAGTAGTAAAGGTACATCATATTTGCAACTTACCTTCAGGCATTTCAGGAATCTGTATATACTCACACACACACATATATAAACACAGACAGTGATAAAGCAAATGTAAAATATTAACAGTTTAGAAAACAAGGTGTAGGTTATGTAGAAATTATTTGTACTGTTTTTCTAAGTCTTTTATAGTGTGAAATTATTTCAAAATGAAACTTTTGTGAAACTTTTTAAAAAAGATCTGTGAATTTATTTTTTTTTATTTTTATTTTAAAGCACTCCAGGCTGGATGCAGTGGCTCATGCCTGTAATCCGAGCACTTTGGGAGGCCAAGGTGGGCGGATCACCAGAGATCATGAGTTTAAGACCAGCCTGGCCAACATGGCGAAACCCTGTCTCTACTAAAAATACAAAAATTAGCTGGGCATGGTGGTGGGCACCTGTAATCCCAGGTACTCTGGAGGCTGAGGCGGGAGAATTCACTTGAACCCTGGAGGGGGAGGTTGCAGTGAGCTGAGATCATGCCATTGCACTCCAGCCTGGGCAACAAGAGCGAAACTCTGTGTCTCAATTAAAAAAAGCACTCCCATCATGGTTTAATTTTATTTTTGGTGCTGCATAAAGTAATGGTATGTCTTAATCTCATGCTGTCATAGTCAATGAAATATGTATATTATATTTTATGGAATGTATACTAGAAATATGCTATTAGGAGCCAATTTTATTTTATATTTGTATCATGTCTACTTTGTAAACTTGGGTGTGATACTTAACATGTCTAATCTGTAGTTTCAGCATATGAATAAATAGTACATGTGTTGTAGCGTTGTGGAAAGTGTGAGATAAAACATTTAAAACCTAGCAGATGTCTCAGCGCTTAGTAAACGTACAATTGTGTGTGTGTGTGTGTGTGTGTGTGTGTGTGTGTGTATTTATAGAAGTGATATTTGTAAAATGACAAAATTAAGTGAAAGAAGCTGGATGTGCACTTGCTCTGCTGACTTGTATATTAAAGTGACATTCCAGAAAAGAAGGTGCTGCGCATACTGGTATGTGCGTCCACTGGGGACAGTCTGATGGCTAATAGCTATTAATAAGCTATACTGTCTTTAAGGCCAGAAATAATGTAAATAAGTGTCATATGCAGTTTTTATTGTTTCAAACAACAGTGTGTATGAGACTGTAGTGTTTGAGCTGTTCAGTTGCTGGATGGCTTAAGAAGGTAGATTTATTTCTGAGATGTGCTTCAGAAAAGAAGTATGATTTTCACATGAGTCTTCAAATAAGACAGCTAACCTTTGGAAGGTTTTTAAGAATGAACGTCACGTATCTGTTTGTGCTTTTTTTTTTTGCCAGGAAAAGGAACCTCTTCGTGTTATTCCACTTAAAGAGGTTCATAAAGTCCAGGAATGTAAGCAAAGGTAAGGAACAGCTCTGACTTGATGCCTGGCACAACTTAGGAACACAGAACAGCGCCTTAGTTTGAGGAATATACTTACAAATTACATTTTTCCATATAAATTGTAGTTATGTTTAACTTTTTGTAGCTGAGATACGCTAGAATTTTCAAACCCTCAGATTAAAGATTATATTTATTTCTTTATAGTTGAGATACGCTAGAATTTTCAAAACCCTCAGATTGAAATATTTTGTTCATTTGAAAACTAAAAATTAGGAAACAATCCCTTGTTTCTTTGAAATCTAAAAATGCAGAAACAGCTTATTAATGGAAAGGAAGAAATTTAATGTGAACAACTTGTGGTTGGGCTATCAGATTTGACAAATTGATGTATTAATTTTAGTGTTTAAAAGATGCAGAATAGAGCATACAACACAAGAAAACGTGTTAGCTGTGACAGTGTTTCACCAAACTGATTACTAAAAACTCTGAACTTTAAAGTTGCATTACGAACTTTTTTAAAAGGCAAAACTACATAAAATATGTAAAATCTTATATGAAAATAAAGGGGAAAAGTAATTTGGGTTTGTCAAATCAGTGCTTTACCTCTTATATTTATTTATTGACATACTGGGTACTGGGTAAACAAAGAGAAATTGTCAAACAACTGTTATTTAAGTATAATTGGATTTTTTTTCATACAGTGACATAATGATGAGGGACAACCTCTTTGAAATTGTAACAACGTCTCGAACTTTCTATGTGCAGGTAAGATGCTTACTTGGCAATTATAGATCCTCCTAACAAGAAATTAATAATTTTAGAGGTAAAATAAACATAAATAAGCTTGTTGCTCTTGAGGTTTAAAAAATATGACAACTGTAATTCACCAGCTTAATAGAAGGTGGTATATATAGAGTTATTGGTAGAGTTATATGTTCAGGAAGTGGGAATATTCTTTGTTATGAACTAGTGAACTAGAACTAAGTATTTGGAGAAAGGGAAATGCTTTTAATTTAGATGTTAAGTGCGTACCTTCAAGTCAGATTACTTTTGCACATATTTTAGAATTTTGATTTTTCTGTTATATCATTTTTTGGTAACCTTATAAAAAAAATACCCATAGTAAAAGTAGAGAGTAGATCTATATGGTTTCACTGATAGTTGGCATCTGTATTTAAGTTTAAATTGTACTTTTTGCATACCTCATTGAATTATTTAAAAAGAAAATTTTTATAAAGATTTGGGCTGGTGTGGTGGCTCACGCCTGTAATCCCAACATTTTGAGAGGCCAAGGCAGGCACATCACTTGAGTCCAGGAGTTCAAGACCAGCCTGGGCAACATGGTAAAAACCCATCTCTACTAAAAATACAAAAATTAGCCAGGCGTGGCGATGCAGGCCTGTAAGCCCAGACTTGGGAGGCTGAGGCACTAGAATCACTTGAACCCAGGAGGCAGAGGTTGGTGTGAGCTGAGCTCATGTTACTGCACTCCAGTCTGGGTGACAGAGCGAGACCCTGTCTCAAAAAAAAAAAAAACCACCAAAAAAAGGATGATTTGTTTTATTGAAGTTAAATATGCTTATTCTAGAAAACTAGGAAAATATAGAAAGATGTGGTTTATAAAACAGTCCATTCCACATTGAGGCAACCATTCTTATGTTTTTGCTCCCTTTCTTCAGGTATATATTTTTATAATAGGTGGGGTCATACTAAATATAGTGTTATATTCTGTTTGTTTAATATATTGTTATTTTTTTCCATGTCATAAAAATTATCTGAAGACCTTTTAGAACTACACCATACTCCATTGTATTGATGTTCTACTAGTAAATTGTTTCTGTATTACTGTGTTGCTGAACGTTTATATGCATAGTTTTTATACATTTACTGCAATAAATGATGTGATGAAATGCATCTTTGTGCATTACTTTGCCTGATTTCTGTAGGATAAGTTTCTAATTGAGAGTAACTATTGGAGTGCGACCCTTTCTATTTTATCAAATTAATTTCTAGGATTATATTTCCATACTAGTGCTGAATGAAATATACTCTACCTTTGCCTGTTTTTAAGTTTTTGTTAATATTATTTATTCAAAAATATCTTGTATTGTAAATTTTTTCATATTTCTAGATTCTAGAAGTATAACAGATTCTAGAATATAGAAGCAAGAGGCAGTATCTCTGTAACCCTGCTTGGGGCCTTATTTAATTAGATTTAATTTCATAGTAAGATTTAAAATTCACATTGAAAGCCAGACTTGTCTGTCAATACTTGTAGGATTTAGGGTACTACTAGAAATTATTTCCAGAAAAATAATATGTAAAATAATGTCAGAATTTTAAAAAATTATGCAACTACATAAATCTTGTAGCAGATTCAGGTGGTCTAGTGATAGAGTGAAATAAGAAGGGTTTTCTTTGACTTCCTCTTCACGTTTTCTCTCTGGAGATATTCATTGACGCCTTTTGATGGGTCTGATCTTGACATTGAAGTGCTCAATTTATGTCTCTGTGAAGTAAGACCTAGCAAAACCTGTTTTTAAAAAACGATTTCTCAGTTTTTTTGATAAAATTGCCTTAGAGTGATTTTGTTGATAATAGTATTTAAATTATCAAAATCAATACATTGGCTTTATAGAAGTAGAAGCTGATTTTGAGGAAAAGTTGACTGAATGAGTTCTGTTTTCTTTTAGGCTGATAGCCCTGAGGAGATGCATAGCTGGATTAAAGCAGTCTCTGGCGCCATTGTAGCGCAGCGGGGGCCTGGCAGATCTGCATCTTCTGTAGGTTTCCTGCTCTCTGGGGTGATATTCCCCTGGGTCCCCCCATCCTGTTGAATTGTTTTCCTTCCTCCCAATCCATCTGGTTTCTTTCTTTATTGAGATTTATTTGCATGTTGACTTTTATACCAATTGGACTTCCAAAAAATAATGCATTTCTAATTTAATACTTCCTTGCAGTGTTACATATATATAACTTTCTGTGAATTGTATTGTGTTAAATGCACAAGCAGGGCAACTAAAGAATGAACATTTCCTTGCTTTGTCTTAGGAGTTCTTACTTGTCAGTAGCTCTAGATCTGGCATAATTTGACAGATGCTTAGTATGGTGGATGGCCTGATCATTAAGACTTTTAGTTGTAGCATTACACAGCTTTGTGAACATCTTGATTTCCACTTTACTTCCTCTGATTTCAGTTGAGGTTTTTTTGTTTTGTTTTTTACCTTTGGCTTCACCATGCCATAAGATCTCTGAGCAGCTGGGACCTTAAATGCATTTCAGTGCTCCCAGTGTTTCCAGTTCATGTTTTCATTCTCATTTTAAAACCTGCCTGAAAAGTCTGCTTCTGAAAACTATCATAACTATCTCTGTGGTAGTATGATAATAAAATTGAAATACAAATACACATTCTACTCTGAAATATTTTTTCAAAAGATTTTTATTATGTTCAAGTACATAAGAATTAGATTTGGCTTTGGAATACTTTGGCCAGTGATCTCAGATCTGAAAATTCAAAGTATGTTAAAATGTAACACTGTCATCTGCAGAAAATAGTCTTGTCTGTAGCATGATAGCCTTTATGATCTAGATTTACTATGATATATATGCTAGATACTTATACTTTTAATATTTTTTTCTGATTCTATTATAATACTGCCTTTTATTTTCTGGTAGTAGTAACTACAGATAAATAAATAGAAATTAATGTTTCTGATTCCTTAATTGTTAAGTCATTCTCTTTATATCCTTTTTGAAATATCCAAGAAGTCATTTTCATAGATGTTCATTTTGCCTGTATTTTTATGTGACTTTTTCAGCAGTCAAGTATGAGACTCTCTGCAAAAACAATGTCTGTTGGGAAGAGGAAAAGTTGGAGAAGGATGTTTGTGTTTTGTGCTTTGTGGTGGGGGCAAATTAGACTGTCTAGCTATGACTGTCAGCACAACTTTCTCTTTTCCTCCCTCTACCCAGTATAGGTTAACTCTAATCTTAGCTTTGCACTGTGTTCCAGATGCGGCAGGCCAGAAGGCTGTCGAACCCTTGTATACAGAGGTATACATCAAGAACTGGTGAATGCAGCACGTATGTGGGCTCTCACGCAAACGTGCCTTCTTAGTGGAGGGCCCAGACTTACTCACTACTTACAACTGATCATAGAAAGTTGAGTTAACCAAACTGCCTTTTGCAGTTATTGTAACTGATTTTGTCAATACTAACGCAAACTGTTTCACTCTAGTCATCAGATTGGATATATATATTAAAAGAAAAAATTAAAACATACAACTTTACTAACGGAAAGAGACATTAACGTATAAAAATTAATATACTGAACTGCTGCAAGAGTTTCAATTTCTTTATGTACTTTAAGATTTTTAAAATACTATAACACTTATGAAATGCACTATTCTAATAATATATGCAAACTAATGCATGCATATGCATTGGATAAACTGTACATTACTATAGTTTGCATGGCATTTAAAAATCTCTGAAATTTAGCCATCTAATAGGACTCTATAGTGTTTTGGTAATTAGTAGCACTTTGTTTTCAAAGCCACTAGTATAAAGGAATATAAAATGCTAGTATATAGCAGTGTATTTAGAATGGCCATATTTAAGGATATCTTCAGATTTGGTCTAGTTAGAAGCATATTGAAATTAACATTTACAACTGATAATTATTTCACCACAGTTTAGAATGTGATTAAATGTGTACCCTTTGTTACCTTTAAAATATTAAGCCATATGAATATATGACCTATTCAGAAGTAAAATTAAATAAAAATTGAAAAGACTGTGCTATTATTGGTTGCAGTGAAATTCAGGGAAGGAAAATCTAAGTTTTATCAGCAAAATAATGTTTGAAAGCTGTTGATTCATGCTGATTAAAGAAATATGGCCTTTCGTTGTCATAGTCTATATTTGCTTTCTAAAATACGTGGGATAATTCCTAGTGTTGACTGAGAATATACTCTAAATGATACAGCGGGGAAGTTCTCTTTTAAACACAGTTCAGTTGCAGCTGGAACACTATATTTCAGTTTAGTTTGGCTGAATCTTCAAAGTGTCATAGGCTGCCAAATTCGGCTTTGGTGACGGAGCTGGTTTCCTAGTGGAAATGGTTTTTGGCTATCATCGCTTTAAACTCACCTCTAAAAATGCATTGCTTTGGGAAAGAACTTGCACATTTATGCTGCATGGCCTCTGCTTGTGCTTTGTGTGTGTGTGTCTGTGTGTGTGTGTGTGTGTGTGTGTGTGTGTGTGGTTTGTTTTTCAGAGGATCAAGTCTCACACTGAGTAACTAACCTGGCCAGTAGTGATGGACTGTGTCTGACCGCCACTCCTTTTTGCAGGAGCATCCCCCCGGTCCTTCCGAATCCAAACACGCTTTCCGTCCCGCCACCGCAGCCGCCGCCACCTCACATTCCACAGCCTCTCGCAGCAACTCTTTGGTCTCAAGCTTTACCATGGAGAAGCGAGGATTGTACGAATCTCTTGCCAAGGTCAAGCCAGGGAACTTCAAGGTCCAGACTGTCTCTCCAAGAGAACCAGCTTCCAAAGTGACTGAACAAGCTCTGTTAAAACCTCAAAGTAAAAATGGCCCTCAGGAAAAAGATTGTGACCTAGTAGACTTGGATGACGCGAGCCTCCCAGTCAGTGACGTGTGAGGCAGACACGCATGGAGCCTGCCTGCCTCTGCCTCCTGTTTCCTTTTGTGAGGCTTCTAGCCAAAGATGATAAAGGGGAAAATGGTTTTTAGTGTGGATGTTATACTGCCTCTTAGGTGTATTCTTTATAAGCTGGTAAACCAAGAATCTAGGGAGTGGCCAAACTAAATATAATTTCTTTAAAAAGAAAGAAAAAGGAAAAATCCAAAATATCTCAGTGTCATCTGTCTGAAGCATTGTGTGTTCTCATTTGGGTGGTAACAATGTGCGTGTAATATTTTTTCCTAGTGATTTTGACAGTTTAAACGTTTAACAGCTTAAAACATTAAAAATGCTGATTAATTACTTTGGTCATTTAAAAAATGCTACTGTGACGTCTGATTAAATGTTCAATATTTACACATCCTTATTGGTCACTATTACCAAATGAAATATTGCCAGACCAAGATACCTAAACTCATGATGTCTGTGGTGCTGTAAAATTTATACTGCAATGTGGACTCTGTTGAAATTACAACCATGTTTGATGCCCTGATCTTGAGGTGAGTTGCAAATTTTGCGTAGAGGATATTATTCGACCAACAGTAAGGGTTGTGGGTTATACTGGGGTAGAGAAAAGGGGAAAACTAGAATTCAAACAACTCCGTCTTAGATGTTTGTTTGGAAAAGCTTAATCAGGCCTTGGAGCAGTCAGTGCTTTCTTCAGCAAAAATTATTTGGTAGGAAATTTTTGGGAGATCTGATTTTCTTATAAACGTTTTGTAAATAGTTCTTATTTCTATATTTGGATTGGTGAAAGACCTCAAGTTTATATGTAAAGACGTAACTGCCCTTAGTCATGAAATTGTTGTGACCTCTCCTTTTTGTCACTAATAACCTAGATTCAAGTGCCTGTGTTTTTTCATCTTGTTTAGGAATGGTTTGAGATTCATATGCTAAAAAGTCCTCCTACATGACTGGTTTTAAACATTGAGATAAAATTAATTTTCAGTAGAATAGTTTAATGTGTTAAATAAGATAGCATTTTATGTTAGAGATACCAGAATGCTGGTATTCTACTACCTGTGCAATATATATGTTTTAAAGAAAACAAATTGGGGAATACATTTAATCATGGGCATATAGATATAAGCACCCCTCTAAAGAATTCTTCATTTCTGGTGTTGAATTATAGACCAGTTTGAGTAAATACTGGTTTTTTGTTTTGTTTTTTTGTGGGTTTTTTTTTTTTTTTGAGACAGTGTCTCGCTCTTTTTGCCCAGGCTGGAGGGCAGTGGCGTGATCTCAGCTCACTACAACCTCCGCCTCCTGGCTTCAAGCAGTTCTCCTGCCTCAGCTTCCTCAGTAGCTAGGATTACAGGTGCATGCCACCACACTCGGCTAATTTTTGTATTTTAGTAAAGATGGAATTTCACCATGTTGGCCAGGCTGGTCTTGAACTCCTGACCTCAGGTGATCTACACGTCTCAGCCTCCCAAAGTGCTGGGATTACAGGTGTGAGCCACCACACCTGGCCCATAAGTACCGTTTTTGTGGTTCCGTCTTAAACATTTGCTTTAAAAAAACAGTCTTGAATTTCACATGCTGCTATTTTTATATTTTGCCATTTTACTGTACTGTTTTGTTTTGAATTCGTACATATCACTGAAAATTTCTCTTTTTTCATTTTCTAAGGTGACTTCTTGTCTGAGACAGAAAAATTTCCTACTACAGCAGTGGGGTCCAGAGGTTAAGATCTATTAGAATTATATAGTATCAGTTTAAAAATCTGTATGCATAAAGAGTATACCACTCAACTTTTTTATTCATAAGCTAATATTTTTTTAAAGTTAGATTTTTTTCTCTTTTGCACCTACATTTGAAAGTGATAAATAGATTTTAATTATCACTTTTTCTGTCGATATATTCACTATAATGGCTTTTTTGAAAGTTTCTTTTTCATAAACACACCCAAGAAATCTGATATGGACACTTTGCAATATTTAAGAACCTAATGCTGTTTAATTTTGGTACAGCTTCCACACTGCATGTTCATTTTAGCATATTTTGGTATTTGCAATTTGATATATTTCATGGTGGTAAAATATTAGCTCTATTTTGGGACATTTTAAAATAGAACTGTCCTTGTTCAGTAGCATAGGAAAATGTTCTTGTGATTGTCAGGGTCTCCTAATATTTATCTCAATTCTTTTATAAGTCTATGGAAATTATTTAATTATTTTAAAACTTACACACTTCTCTGGTAAATATGTCACATCTGAGTTCAAAAAAATTACTTTGAAAACCTTAATATTTGCTGCATTTTTTTTCTGTATATATAACATGTCTTCTTTCAGAATGGGAATATATGTGTGCCTCCCAACATTTACTGTTAAAGTCTGTTATCTTTATATGTCAAACTGGTTGAACACTGTAATGACTTGAGAATAAACTGCACAGAGTTTATTCAGACTTGTTTCTCGTTTTGTTTGATTCAGCTCTTGTGTGAACAAGTAAACGATTAAGGATGTGTTTGGTTAATTGACTTCAATTCACATATTTAAGGACAGAGTAATTATTTGGTAATCTTTGCAAGAATAAGAAACATCAGAACTGAATTCTTAAGTCATCACTTCATGTGAAATCATAGAAGGAAACTTTTTTTTTTTCTTCTTTTTGGTAGGGGAATGAACTCGCTCATTTTTCTTAATTAAAAGACATGTTCTCAAAAGCAAAATTACAATATGTTAGCCTCAGAGCCATAGTGTGGATCACCTGGGCTGCTTACAGGGCTGCGTGATTATTTAGACGGCCTGATGTAAGACTGAGCAGAGAGCATCTTGATCTCTGGGTGGGCAGTTGAGATGCACTCATAAACTATGTCAGGTGTTAGAGGCTGCTCCTTGGAAACGTTCCCTGTTGTTGATAAATGTCGCATGTCTGTTACAGTGAACACCACATACAGGGCCTAGTGCAGTGCTTGGTGCACAGGTAAAGCTTCAGTACTTCTCCAGTGAGTGAGGACAAGGCATTAATGTAGAATGTGTGAACTTCACACATGAGAGAAAAGTGTATCCCTATTTGCTTTGTTACATAAACCATACTTTTGAAATTCTGGAATATTCTTTCCATAAAGCAACTTGACTTCAAGATTCGAGATACCTTCTTTTGCTTGTGGTATCTAAACCCTTGTCAGATCCTGCTGCTTTTCCCCGGTATGTTCACACATTGTCCTCTGAAATTCAGCCAGGAATGACTGAACCAGTGTCTCCGCTCACCTATTCATGTCCTGGTGGGGCTCTCCTGGATTACCCTATTCCTGTCATTGTGCAGGGTAAGTATCAAAGGGAACATCTTGATCTGTTACTTTTTCCTCAAAAGCTGAATGACATCTTAAAGATCAGCTAGGCCAAGCCCCCACCATCAGTGCTAACTGAGATAGATTGAGACCCCCGAAAGGAGGAGGATTTGCCTGGCCCATGGGTCATGTTAGCAAGGAGGCTGCAACTGTTGGCTTCTCACTGAACTTGGGAGCATCACTAGGATCTATGCCCAGGGGGTAGCTAGAGTAATTAACCAAATATACCAGGTTGCTTCCTAATAACCTATGGGATTCCATTGACTTGGTATTGTTTTTCCTCAGTCTCTTTTTCCGAAAGCCATTTGTTGTGTGAAATGCTTTCTTCATCTTAGCCCCTCAGATCTCTGTTGAGTCAAATGACTTGGGAAACAGCAGCTTAACGTACTTGGTGTATGTGTTCTAACATGCTGCTCCTACAAATTGATGGGACACATTTGCCCTACAACGCAAGGATCTTGGGGTTGTGTCTGGGTTTCGCCTGTTAGGTTTTCTGCAGTTCTCTTAGACCGTGGATCGTGGATACGTTTATGTTTGTTACCCCTTTGTTGCAGCATGCTCAGCACTTCAAAAAGGGGAACATTTATTTGGTTCTATTTAGGAAGAGCTTTGAATTATTTCCGATGAACTACTTGTTCTACTCTTTTCCCCCCTTCACACTACTGCACTTGACTAGTCTTAAAAAAAAAATGATGTCAAAATTTTACAAAAAAAAAAAAAAAATGTGCCGTTGCACGTGTAACCCATGTTTTCTTGTTCACACCAGCCACGGGAGATGGTAATAGCCTGGGTAACAATTTCAGTCATACTTGTCCAGGAGCCTGCTTCCTTGAAAGTGACTGATATTCCAAATTGTTTCTCTCTTTCCCATTGGGTCTTGGACACCTGATAGTTACCATCGTGTTTGTCCACTGCTGCTATGGTCTTGCTGATGTTGCCCCAAATAAGTAGCTGTGTTGTACGGATACATAATTTTTATTTAAAGCTTACTCCTGGACACATTTTATCCATTTTTGAAAAGATCTAAACTAGTTTGACTAGTAGAATTAGGTAACAGTACACGGTTCAAACAAAAGTATTGCCTTGTGCATTAAAAGTTTCTTTTTGCTTAGTGTCTCATTGGTCTGAATATAACGGCTGTCTTAGACCAGACATCCTGGGACCTGTCTTCAACTCTAGTTCTGCCATATCTGAATTGAGGCAAGTGTCTGTTTTGGAACTTTACTTTCTATGTTATGTAAAATGGAATTGGATAAAAGCTATCTTTGTCTTGGTAATTATTAACTGATGCAACTTATTTTTTTCCTTTGAAAAGTATTTTTTATGTTTTTATCCTAAACCCAAAATAAGAAGGGAAAGTTGGAAACATTTTTGCTTTAACAAAAAGGAGATCCCTTTGTTAGCAATTCTTTCACTTCTAGCTGCAGTTCAGGAATTTTCTGTAAGTGGTGTTTGTACCTTTATCAAAAGCTCTGTTAACAGTTGGTGAGGCAAGAAATATTTGTATCAAAAATGCAAAGATATCACAGCTTAATACCAGATCTATGGGTTAGCCCATATAGGATTTGTGTATGTTGTCTATTTTTTACATGATTCATGTAAACTGTATGTTTTAAACCTCAAGACACACATTGAGAATATTGCTGATTTGACGTTAGCATTTACAGTTCTGATTGATTAAATCTTTGTATTTTTTGATACATTTAATAGTCTTACTGTGGTATATTCATGTGGTAACAGCGCCACCTTCTGGTTATATCATCGCCAAATTTAAAAATTGGTAATTTGGAGTCTTTGTTTATTGCTCCCATAGAAAATTAGAGAAGATATGTGATTGCCTAGGATAGTTTTGAAATTAATGTAACATTTAAACCAACATATACAAATTATACATTTTTTATGTAGACATAATTGTAGGTTCACACAATTGTAAGTTGTAAGAAATAAAACTTTCAAAATGGAGAATATTTAGTATTTGGTCCTATTTGGAAAGAGCTTTAATTATTTCCAAGAACTTACCTGGGTTTAGAAAATAAAGTTTTGATTTTTTAAAATTATGTCCTACCTGTCAGTTTCTATTTCTGTAAGAAATACTGTAGAACCACACGCCCGTAGCCCCAGCTGTTCAGGAAGCTGAGGCAATTGGAACACTTGAGCTTAGGAGTTTGAGACCAGTCTGGGCGAAATAATGAGACACCATCTCAAAAAAAAAAAAAAAAAAAGAAAAGGAAAGGAAAAGATACTCTGTACTCTTTACTCAGAGTAGTTTTCCCCAACATCTTGAAAACTGTAATACAATATTATAACCAGGATCTTGACGCTGATACAGTCAAGATGCAGAACAGTTCCATCATCACAAAGGCTCCTCTTGGTTGTTCTTTTTATAGTCACATCTATCTCATATTCCATAGGTTTGGAAGCAGACTTAGTCACTTGCCCAGAGTCACATTAGGCTTGAAATGTATCTTTCTGATATCAGAGTTTGGGGTCTTAACACACTACTACTACTGTCTCAGTAGAAGTCGAAAACTGCCTTTTAAAACATTACTTCCAGATTATTAAATGAGTTCAATCTATTGTCAACATTTCTAGAACCATACTATTTCAAACAACAGATTTCTTTGTACATACCTTTAAATTTCACATTTGAGAATCAATCATAGTTAAGTATCCAATTATAACTTCCATGAAAGAGTTCAAGCCCTGACATTTGATAAATAAGATTACCAGAATAAGGTAAAGAGTAAAAAACAGATGAAAATAGCTTTAAGATGCTGGATTCTTGC